CCCCCCCCCCCCCACAGAGATTTTTTCAAAAGAAATTTTTTTTTTCTCAGAATTATTCACAACATATATAAATCGATTCAGTTTTTGCAGTACGCATAACAATCGGATGTGAATCCGATGTTTCCGCATTTATTTCTTATAAATATTAAATATCAATGTTTTTTGCACGTTTCATATTCAAGAAAGATTCAGTTCTATTTTCTATACAAAGCGTATCTGTACGCATGCATTTTTAATCCTATGTTGCAGTATGACATTTCACTTACAGACAAACAAATGTCGCAGTCATTTTTCAATAGGTTTTCAAATCTGATTTCATATAAAATAAAAAATTGATATTCTACTTAATTATGCGTTATTTTCTATGCCATTCGATTGGAATTCGATTGTTGTCGAAATAAAAATTTGTTTTCCAAAACTGAATTCTTTATCGATTAAATAAAATCGTACATTGAAATAACTGAAAGTAAATGCTATGGCGTTTGTATTTTAGAGCTTAAGATTAAAAGAGTGTGTTCTTATATTTGTGTTATAATAATAGAATATGAAAAGAAATATGACATAGGAAGAGAAAAGACAAAATTCTTGCCAAAGAAGCATCTTATTACATTTTTCCATTAGATTAGGTTGGCATTTCTTATAACATATTTTATCACACGCTTGACTCTTTACGTTTTTATTTCTTTTTTTCTCAGATACTTTTCTTTCTTTTTCTCTCATTTCCATGACCAGTTTTAAAAATACCTACACTTCACTTGTGATGTGAGCATTAAATAGTTGTCACTAATCAGTAAAACAAGAATGAGTTTATATTTTAAAACAAAGCAATTCAACGCTTATTGATTCATTCATAATTCTACTACATAGTTCTCTCCTATTTCCTTTTGTTTTTTTCTCACATGAATAATCTGTAAGTGTTTCATTTTGTTTTCTTGAACATTGTAGATCCATATATTTTTCTTTCTTTTTTTGTTTTTATCTTCAATAGTCTCATTCGTATCATTATAAGTAAATGACTGAAGAAATATTTATTTAACAAAATGTACGGTCTTCTATTACAATCAGCTGTTGAAATTATTCAAGCTAAATATGGACAAGAAACTTGGGACCAAATTAAAACAATACTTCGTATTGATACAGATTCATTTTCGGCTTTTCATCAATATGGCGAAACATTATTTATACGAATTGCGAACCTTTTAAGTGAACTTAAACGTATGTTATGCTTTATTTTAACAGAGTTCGGTAGTTAACAAGAACAAACTTTAATAAAACAAACAAAAACACATGTCAGAGTTTTCTCAATGTATGCGAGACAGGATTGAGTTGGACGAAAAAGACAATGGGGCATGTTGGTTAAAAATACGTTTAATATCTGATTATACCCGATTTTCATGATCAGTTCAAACATGACTATCGGGTAGGATTATCCATTAAGTTTATTAGTGATTAATTAAAAGAAGCTCTTTTTTTTTAAAGAATAAAATTCGTATTGTAATAAGGACAAAATCATATGTCATAGAATGTTGAATGAAAAGCTAGTTGATTTCTATAGAAAACTGCAAAAATGAATAATAATATAATTCCTTTTACTACCGACTGAAAACGAAGTGACATTGGAAAAGGTATTATTTATTTATTTAGATGAACCGATTAGCGATATTATGGATATATTCGGCTTTGAATTTGTTTCCTATGTGTCTAATAATGGTTATGATCAAATATTACGAATTCTGTATGTTATATATATATATATATATGTTGGAGGGGAAATTAAAATTCAGGGCAATTTAAAATTCCCCTAGGGGAAATTAAAATTTTAATCTCACCTAGGGTAAATTATAATTTTTTGTATTTTTTATATAATTTTCGATTTTTCTGAAATAGTTAAAAATGAATATTCGTCTTGAGGTCTGGACAGGAATGTTTGTGCGAATGCCAATCATCTGTGTGGGTGTAGCTGTACAAAGCCAGTTTGAATGCACAATATAAGTGCGGGTGCGGGTGAGGGTGAGGGTTTGATTCGTACGGGCTCACATCCTTTCACACTCACACCCACACCCACATATAGACCCACATCCATCCACACCATCACACAAACAGTACATTTTTACCTATTTCAGAAAAATCGAAAATTACATAAAAAAATACAGAAATTTTTAATTTGCCCTAGGTGAGGTTAAAATTTTAATTTCCCCTAGGAGAATTTTAAATTGCCCTGGATTTTAATTTCCCCTCCAACATATATATACATTTATTTATTTTTATCAATATTTTAATAATTAATTTTAGTGGGCATAATATGAGAGATTTTTTAAATGGTTTGGATAATTTACATGAATATATGCGTTATAGTTATCCCCGAATGCGTCCTCCATCATTTTATGTTGAAAAAGAAAGTGCTGAAGGACTCACATTGCATTATCGGAGTCGACGACGAGGTTTTGTTTATTATGTAATTGGACAAATAACTGAGGTTTGATATATTTTTTTATTCTAGTGTATACATCTATTCGTTTTTGAAAAAAAACGTTATTCTTTGAGATTTACAGTTCTTGATGAAGAAAGAAAATACAGATTAATGCCGTCCAGACCGGTATTTGCGTCACCAAATCTTTTTATTCTAGCTGACAGCTTAATATTTATATCAAGCTCTCAAATAATGATATTCAACGAATCAGTAAAGAATTCATCAGAAATCTAACTATGAATCAAATAAACAATTGTACTTTGACTGTCTACACTAGATGTGTAACTTATTTCTCACCGAGAAAGTATAAGTGAAGTTAATACTCTTCACACCCAATAAAACAACTAAGCACATGAGTAACTGCGACTACCTTAATGAATCATGTGTTGTACATCTCTCAACTTGCTCAAGTCTTTGTTTTGTTTTACAATGAAATTTTCCTTTAGATTGGTCGTCGTTATTATGATTCACATGTCGAAATAGAAATAATCAGCGAACGAGAAGAATTGGATGTAACACATATTGTATTACAACTTAAATTCGAAAATACAGCATATATTAAAGAAGCTATAAATAATAAAGATGCACAAGAACTACACTTAGCACTTGATTCTGAGGTTTTTCTTGAATTATTTCCATTTCATATGGTTATATCAGAATCATTAAAAATCATATCAGCTGGAAGTTCATTATCACATCTTTTCCCAAATATTACCGGTGAATTATTACGTGATATATTTCATCTTGTTCGGTAAAATGACAAACATCTTTATTATATTTCGTTTTCTCTATTGAAAGTAAAAAACATTTTCATTAACTTCTTTTTCAGACCTATTATTACATTAAATTGGTCTCAGATTGTCTTACATTCGAATAATGTATTTGAATTCACAACTATTGAACCATTACATAAACACATACATATTCAAACAAAAGACTATGATTCCGGTAAAATTAAAACATCCATTGTTTTCTTATATTTTTTAGTTTATTTTAGATATACTCTTAAAGATGCCATTACATCAAGATATAAATGATACATATTTGAAAATGCGCGGTCAAATGCTATATTTACATGAATGGAAAGCCATCGTGTATTTAGCAACCCCAATGTAAATTTTGTAGAAGTAAAAAGATAAGTACTTAATACGCTAATTTTATATTTTAGTCTAGAAAATCTTGATGTTATGATTAATACGGGTTTATTTATAAATGATCTTTCAATGCACGATTCCAGTCGAGATTTAGTCTTAGCTGGTACACAACAAAGTGCTGAACTTAAATTAACACTTGATCAAGTAAATTAGAAATGATGTCTTATGAAAAAAAAAAATGCTGATTATTATTTACTTCAGGAAAAACAAAAAAGTAACGCATTAGAAGAAAGTATGAAAAAATTGGACTCAGAAATGAGAAGAACCGATCTACTTTTATATCAAATGATACCGAAAAAAATTGCCGATCGATTACGTAATGGTGAAAAAACAGTGAATCTTTGTGAAGTAAGAATAACTATTAATTTTCCTAGAGAATATATTTTAACATATGCGTTAAGTAAGACTGAAAATTTCTAATTGAATTTTGACAGATTCTATGTATCACAAATGATAGTTTTCCAATAAAATATCAATTCGATGCAATATCTTTTTCAATTTATAGAAAAATAAATTCTAATTGGCAGAAATTTGATATGCTCATTGAGAATAACTTTAAGCGTTAATTCTAGATTAGCGTTTGCGGCAATGTTTGACGTATACGATTGACTTGTCACCGGCAAATAGTATAATTTAAGTAATAGACAGAGCAAATTATATTTTAATTGACACGTATAAAAATAGCCACGATTGAATCTTGGCTTTTTTCTATAATCAAAAATGATAGCAATAAAATATGGATTTAATTTTTTTTTCTTTTTCTAGTTTACTCTAGCCTAGAGCAACATAATATTAAATCGATTATATTAAGTCTTCAGGTACTTTTTCAAACACATCTCAAAGGCGTGCATAGATTTTTAGGTGAACGTTGAAAAATAATTCTTCAAAGTAGTGCCACTTTTATATAATATGTATGGAGGTAGCGAACTCAATTACAAAAAAAAAACATTCTTTTACAAATTTAGCAGTTTTATCACTCAGCTTAAAGCTATGAATGTCTACTATGCTCAGAGGTTATTTTCAGTGATGGAGTCAATGTTTTGTGTTGTTTGAAACACGATACTTGTCCTTGGCGAATCTTGTGATCATATTGTTTATGTTCCTATTTGATGATTCATTTTTTTTGAGACACGCACGACACAATTAAACTGCGTAATTCTATGATAAAATAGTCACATTTTAATAATGAAAATAATCAAAGTTTTTTGAACCGTTGAATTGTTGGAGAGTGACACTTACAAGATGTGTTACGATTTACTATGAGTTAAACACGTAATCTAAAACAAATTGTCATTGTTCGTAGAGCTGGCCAAAATAATAGGAGCTGGAAATGGTTTGTGAACGACAATCGTTTACAATCTTAATTTTTCACTGAATGATTTCATTTTATTCATCGTAAATATAGCTTTATCATATTAAAACTAATATAAGCGATATCTATAGGACGCTATTGAATAGTTCTTAACAGTAGCCAATAGCAAGAAATTCATTGGTTATTTTATTTGTTAGTTAGTTAGTTACTCATTCTACAGTAGATCGGTCGAACTTCTTTAATATTTTATTTCTTAGACTTTTGAAAGTTGTACAATATTATTCAGTGATGTTGTTGGTTTCACATCAATATGCGCTCTACTTACACCAATGGAAGTTGTTTCTATACTCAATGAAATGTATACTAAATTTGATAAATGTTTGGAAAGTCATAATTGTTACAAAGTTGAAACGATTGGTGATGCATATATGCTAGTAAGTGGCTTACCCGAACGTAAGTTATTTATTCTTTATAAAACAATTAATTCTATTTGTTGTATTTTCTACTTTTTCAAAGGTGCAAGAAATCATGCTGCAGAAATTATTGATATGGCATTCGATATGCTTGATGCAATTATTACTGTGTCGAATCCGACAAATAATGAAAAACTTAAAATACGTATTGGTTAGTTATTTAGATTATTTCTTCTAGAAAACAAAAATGCACACTTTTATTGTTTTTAGGTTGTCATAGTGGTCCAGTTGTCGCTGGTATAGCTGGTATTAAAATGCCTCGTTATTGTTTGTTTGGTGATACAGTAACGCAAGCAAATAGAATAGAACAAACTAGTAAAGTAATTATATGACATTTAAAAATATAACTATAATATTAATATAATTTACTTCCGTCAGAAAACGAGCCCATGGCAGAAAGAAACAATATCTCTATTAAATTCTTAGAGCACATTCAGCGTCGGGATTCTTTGTTTTTTAATTAAATATTCTTTTAATAATCCTTCTATTTTGATGGAACCGGCCAAATATTAGTATGCATGTTTTAATTATAGCTTAGAGAAAAATTCTCTTCCAGGATAGTCCTCTCTGACAAATCCTTGTATTAACTAATTTAATTGCCAAGTTCTAAAATAAAAATATAGAACTCTAATCGAAATAATCTTCTAATTTTAGGCATTGCATATTCATATAAGTGATTCAACGTATAGATTACTCGATCGGAAAGCATATGAATTCGAAGAACGCGCGAGAGTTACAATAAACGGTTCTTTACCGTCGAATACATTTTTTGTATTGAAAAAAAAAGATCGATCGGGAAATATTCAAATACGTCCATTTCATCAAGCCTACGAAGAAATGAAACGACAAGAGATCAACGAAGCTAAACAAGCACAATCTATGTTGATCAAAAATATCAATAAACATGATCCTACATCTTATACGTTAAAACCAAATGGTGTCAATCTATCATCAGTTTCAACTAATGCTCTATCGATATCAGCAGGATCTGCTGAAATAATAGTATCTACTAAAGCTAATAGTGACTCAAGTATGAATGAAAATAGGCGCCTCAATAATGTAGATGGTAATAGTCAGTCATTGAAAATATTTGAAACTGTTAATGGAGGACACGAACCAAAACTACCGATTCAAGACCGATTACGAAGTAGAACATGTCAATTACTTTGAGGTCATTCTCAAAGAAAACGAATATTTTTTTTTGTTTATTATGTATCCGATTTTATTTTGAATAAAAAATAGACAAAAGTTTTCATTTTTTAAGTATATGAAAAAAGAAAACGCCATCATTATTTTCTCTTTCAGATATTCAATTTGCCTGTATAAATGTTAATCTAGATTAAGTAAGAAGCCATCGAAAAAAGACATACAGGTAAAGAAATCACACGCTTGGCAAACCTGGCTAGCGAATGTCAAGTACGAAAACAATATTTTCTACTTTTTAAAAAACAAGACTACACATGAATATTAAAAAAATGTTGTATGAATTCGAAATCATTTGCACCTGATACACTTAGTTCGTCTTCTACTTAAACCTACCATTCAAAGTAAACCAACTTTGAAAATTTTTTCATCTTAACTATATGGAATTAAAAGTCCAACAATAACTAACTTTGTTATCGAGAAGTCACTAGAAACTGCATCAAATAAAATGAGTAGAAATTAACTACACTGAAAACATACTAAAATAATAGTTTACGTCGATGATTTCGAGTTGTTGAACATGTTGAAATTTTTTCTTTCATTTTGCAGATAGAAAATGATACATCCTCATATAAAAATCAGACTAGACATAATAACTGTAATTTAGTAATTAGATCTTAGAAATTTTGTAAAATTTCCAATTGTATTGTGCTAAATAATACTCATTAACTTTGCTAAGATGATGATCTATATTGATATTTATGATATTTAAGTTCAGAGTAAGAATGACTTCTTTTCTTCATTTTCAAAGTGAATAGTCATAGATTAGAATTTTATTACGTGACCCATTGTTAGTACATCTTAATTGATAAGATTTAAAAGAAGATTTCTAAAGAACGTCTTGCTTACGATTAGAATAGTTTTATTTTTTATGCATATTTTCAATTTCATTCATATTTTATATGTTTGTTTTATTTTAATTAGATTTTAAATCAACCACAATGATCAATAATTCTCATCCTGTACAAAACGAACGTATCGAACGTCATCATTTGGTTTTACTCGGACTTATATTTCTTATCTCACTAGCAAGTCTATTGGTGATCTATATTTTATTTCCAAATATTGATCCGTATGTAGATAATTAGAAAAAAAGAAATTCCGAAATAGAAATGAAATTAAACAAACTATTTTTAGTAAAGAAAAACATGCTTTTAAAATACCGAAAACAATTGATGATGCAAAAATTCTTGGCAATGTTCTATATAAATACAGTAAACATCATCGATATATAATAATGACTGCTTTCTTTATGTCGTATATTTTGTAAGTTGAAACAAATTTTTGTATTCTCGATTGAAAGTTATTTTTCTTTATTTTCAGTTTGCAAACGTTTGCTATTCCAGGTTCAATATTTTTGAGCATTCTCGCTGGATTTCTTTATCCGTTTCCACTAGCATTATTTCTCGTTTGCCTATGTTCATCATTAGGTGCTACGTTTTGTTATTTACTTTCGAAATTATTTGGTAGACATATACTATTAAAATATTTCCGAAAGAAAATTGTCGATTGGCAACTAAAAGTAAAATCGCTATTAATTTAAATCGACAGAAAAGAACAAAAATTTTGATTTTTCTTAGGTTCAAAAACGTGCAGATAGTCTTCTATGGTTTATTATTTTTCTTCGTATAACGCCTATTTTACCCAATTGGTTCATAAATGTTTGTTCGCCTATACTTGATGTGCCATTAAAACCTTTTTTTTTCGGTACATTTGGTGGTGTTGCACTACCCTCCGTATTGTTTATTCAAGCGGGTAAAACACTTCATCAATTGTCATCTCCATCGGATGTATTTTCATGGAGTTCAATATTAATGCTCGCTGTGTGTGCAAGTTTATCATTGCTTCCAATTTATTTTAAGAATAACATTGAAAAGTTTTTTAAAAAACAACGTTGAAAATTGTTTTTTTTCACTTTATTTCGAAATAAAAAAGATCAAGAATTGTTTTCTAAAGATACATTTCATATTGACATTGTTGCGTTTATCAGATTGAATTCAAAGAGGATTCTTTTATTTAATACTTACTAAGAGGTATTGTACATATGTAAATGTCTTGGCGGCGTACTAACTTATTATTTTAAAATTATAAGTTTTAGTTTTTGAAATTCTTCTGTTATTGACGATGAAAGATGATAGTCTTATCGAAAGGATTTCTTTTTGCACAAAGAAAACGACGTTTGAATTTAATCCTTGAGCGGTTCAGGTTCACACTTTCTTGCTATCATTACTGATGACAAGAGTGACTTGCAATAATAAGATATCCATATAGTTGCCCCAGAACATTTAGTATATTAAGGTTAAATCGCAGGACTTACCGGGAAAACTACAATTTCTATGGCGCGCTTCATCTGTCATCAGAGTTCTTATTTCTGCAAGAGAATCCTGGCTTTATCAACTTTTTCCTTGCAGAGATTTAATGACAGTTCGGTTTAATATTCAGGAAAAATATCGTCTCTTTTTGAATTCTCTGTCGCTAAACTATTCACTTAATAGGATCATGTAAATATCTAGAACAGGTTCGCACGAATAAAAGCAAGCATTCTACTTCGCATATGCATTACTACAACAGGGGAAAAGGTCTCTTTAAAAAAAACTTCAGAACTGATAGACTTAGTTATCAAGTATTCAATGAAAGTAAAATAGTAGTTAAGTCAGAATTACGAATATATGTTGTCCCAGATTTGAGATACATGAAGATGGAGATTACTTAATGATTGAATATTCCAACTCGTAAATATAGCAAAAGTCATGTTGATCGATTGAGCAACAGATTTTCTTAAGTTCATGATCAAAGAAGAAAGAAGAAGCTAGGTATTCAGATGGTAGCAATGCTTCATTCATTAATTTTTGCAACATTCTTAACAAATGTCATAATGTTTGATATACATAAGTAACGTTAGGAGGTCGCTAGTCATAGAATAATTCTTGTCTGCTTTTTTGAAATATTCATTTTAAATAAGCATTGCGTCTGTTGAATATTATTCAAATTTCTAATGATTACATTTTAAACTACAGTGAAATTAATAAATTAAAGAGCGAACAACTAAAATACGATTTTACTCTTATGACGTTACTTGTACTTCCAATAGGACTAGTATAGCCAATAGGAATTGTCAAACCTATATCGATCTTGTAATTAATTATGTTAATTATTAAATGTATAGCATGAATAGACAGACGACGAGACTAGCCAACAAGCAGCTTGAGTATTGCCACAAGCTGTAAAAATTATTTTGAAAAAAATTATAAACAGGAAAATTAATAGTAGATTTTCAAAGATTATGCGTGGAGAGAACTTATAATCTAGGTTTTCTGCACCTACAATTTGAAATTCTAATGCTCTTCGAATATGTTCGAAGAATAGAAAAAGCAATATCCTACGCTTTGCAGAACCGCTTTTTGTGCGAGATAGAACAAACATATGGCTTTCTACGTTGTAGTCTATTTTTTTCCATATAAACTAGTTCGCGTGTTCTATTAGATTGCTGTATCTGCGATGGCAAAAAACATTGTGAAGCGTGTCAAGATTTCAAATTTTGTAGCGAATTATTGACTCTATCATTTTATTAAATATCAGCAAACTGAGAATTTCATGTTCGGTTTTAGGGGAATAACTAAATTTAAAAAAGCATCTAAGAATTTTTCTGTAGACTTACCAATAATATTCATAAGAAATTCTCATCGAGACACTGTTAAGAAATCGAAAAATAAATTTATATTTGTCGATATTCAGAATATTTATGTTCTACTGAAGACATAGGAGAGATAGCATTTGATACCAATGGAAAACCCGGATTCTGGTCCAGTTCGAATTCTCCATAAATTACAAATAGTTTATTCAAAAACCGATTAAACTGAAGTGTTCAACCCATAGTTACTTAGTTACTCTAATGAAAATAATAATTTCATATTAATCAAGTCATCGTTTGACTACAGTTTTATATCTTCGCGTCATCATTCATATGATATTCAGTCGTTACTAATTAAAGTTCATAAAAAAGAATTGCAATTACAGAAAAACAGATTCATTCAAAGCATCAGACATTTATCCAATGAGAACAAATATTAGTTTTTTATTTAAACGAAAATTTAAGCATATGATACTACTTGAACTCAATCCACATTATACTGTAGCTTTCGATTAGAGTCCTGCAGGTTAAGACTTTTTTGTACCCTAACCCTGCCATATCGTAAAACTTCGTACCCTTGTCCTACCCTGCCCTACGACGTTCTTACCCTAGCCCCACCCTGCCCTATAGACTTCGTAACCTTGCCCTACCCTGCCCTAGGGGCTTTGTACCCTTGCCCTGAGGGTGTGGGTGTGGCTGTGGGTGTTATTCTGTCCAAACGCTCATCCACATGCACACTATACATGCAAATCCACATCCACACCCACACCCACACCCATCAAAATCCTCTTTTCGGGAATCAATTTGCGAGTCAACGGAAGTAGCTATAAAGATTTTTGAAAAAAATGGTACATCTATTATCTCGATTCTTTCACTTCACGTTTTAACCAGTTTTTTCTGNTACTAAAGAATAGGCCATTGTTTTCCGTTCGTTGTTATTCTACCCATTCGATTTAGATTATGATATCACTCTTTACACTGTTTTTGATCAAAAAGATGTCAGAAATATATATTAAGTTCTACTCTATAAAATTTTTATTTATATGAGCTACACCCTACTTATACCCTAAATATTTTTTTTGTAACCTTACCCTACCCTGCCCTACGAGCTTTATACCCTAACCCTGCCCTGCCCTACGAGTTTTGTACCCTAGCCCTATCCTGCCCTGCAGGGCATGGTAGGGTAGGGTAGGACAAGGTTGACCTGCAGGACTCTACTTTCGATTTCTCACAAAATCATTCCGAATAATGATTGACGTCAGAACTTTTATGAATACTCTTTTGAAAATATTTCCCTAACAACTTGAATATCGATGATGATTACTTTTATGATAGATATGAATAGGACGTAAAAAATAAAAGAAGTAGGCAATTTACTTTCTGTTAAAAGCAATTTTCATCTATCCAACAATAAATGATGATAATGAATAAGGTATAACTGTCTAATGGCAATTATCAAATTGAAAAAAAAAGAACAAAGTGAGTTCATTTTCTTCTTGCTTTTTTTATGTCATAAGACATTATATTTCTCATTTATCAAGAATATGTTCGATACTATTCTCTGATGCTATATCATCAACATCTTAAAAATGATAAAGCGACATATTACATTATATATATATGGAAAGAAAATAGTGAAAGAAATGGAAGTGTTCAAAAAGTAATTAAATTTTTATTTTCCATAGGATACAACTTCAACTTACACCTTCAAAAAACATACTTTTGAGAAAAAACAAAGAAAAAGAAAAGTTGTGAAAGTAGCTCTAGAAAATTTGCTAAAACATCATTTTACATTTTACATTTTAAGAGTAAAGTTGTCTTCTACTATTAGTAAAATATTCAGAGAATAAAATACTAGTTATTCTCAGCATCATGAGGCGAACTTGGCTGTTCCATGTTCTGATCTCGGTAAGTTTTATAAGATTGTTAGTGATAATAAAAAAAATTCGCTTGAATATTTTAGTTATGTCTCATCGAGCACATAACAGCAGTTTCAGTTGATTCACAAAGTAAGATAATATAGAGAGAAAGAAAAAAAATCTCATATATGCTTTTATTAGGTCTACTGGGCTGCGGGGTGATTACTCGTCCATCACGAATTTATCCGTATAGTCCAGCGAACTATGATGGTACTTCCAATACACCTAGTCAATGTATACAATCATGTTCATCACTTAGTTATATATATGCCAGTGTATCGGCAGGTCGACTGTGTTTTTGTGGTTCAATAACAGCGAATACGGCACTTTTAAATTTGACAACTACATCATGTCAAAGCACAGTATGTTCAGGCGATTCAACTCTTTATTGTGGTGATAATGATCATGAGCTTGTCTATGCTTCATTGGGTGTTATTGATGTAAGTTTATTTTTTTCATTTGATCTATGTAATATGAATTTTTAGTGGGCAAGTATTGTTTTAAACGGCGGTGGATCCTCGATGGCTTTACAAGTCAATCAAAATTATCAATTTAATCTTAATTATCACGGTGCAGTTGAGTATATTAATTATCTTATTGATTTTGGTGATGGTACAACAACTGGATGGTTTAGTGGGACGCTAAATACGACAACAACGATTATGCATACTTTTACAAAAACTGGGCAATTTTCAATGTCACTTGCTGCTCGATCGCTAGTTGGAATGAAGGTAATAATTAGAATTTCTTTTACAATAGTAGCATTAGCTGAGTAATTTTGATTTTATCGACATCATTAACATGTTTTTTTTCGAGTGTTAATTGAATTATCACTTTGACAATTGTGCATAGAAAATTTCTAAAACAATCTGAAAATAACTCGTCTCTATATCAATCATGCTTTTAACCAATATAATAGAACTCTAATAAATCTCTAGTTTATTGTACTTCCCTATTCGATCTCGCCTAGATTCTTAGATAAGATTTATTTTACTTTTTAACAATTTTTTTCAACCTCTCAGAACTGGTCAAATTTTATTCGCTAAGCAATTATTTAGTTGAAACGCAATTACGAAATTAGAAGTGATAACAGAAAAAAATTCAAGAATTATAGAATAACTTCCACAAAAAAATATTTATCGATGTTCGAGTTTCAATTAGATTGACATCGAGAAGAATTTCTATTAAGAAAAATTATTTTCTCAAAGACATTTTTATGTCCTGAAACGAAACTTGTCGTTTATAGAATTTCTCATTCAGTGATAAGAATATTTTTCTTTTCTATACTATTACTCACGTGAAACAAAGTTCATGCATTTTCATTTTGAAAAATCACGTTGTTCATATCAATTTAATTCTATTTTTTAAGCCTTTACTGTCTGCAATGACAGTTAAAGTTTCCGACCAAATCTCATCATCGGATATTTCAATGACATGTCCCAATGCAACAAAAACCATGACGACTGTATCATGTACTTTTATATCAGTTCGCGGTACTGGTCTGACGGCTCAAGTTAATTACAATGGATCAATGCCACTGTATTCAATGGCTAATGTTCCAAGTAGATACTATTGAAACTTGTCAGCAAAACTTTTGACATTTTCTATTATTTAGATGCACAATATTATACGTACGGTTCATCATCTGTTACAAGTTATCCAACAATAGATTCATCAGTAAATCTACTAACTGTAAATGATATTGTTATTTTACCGCAAAGTACCATTACGGTTGCTGGTCGAATAGCATCAATACAATTTTACAGTTCAGGAGCTGGCACAGTCAATATTTATGTAATTCATAATAGATCATTTCTATCTACAAGTTTTATAAATATCTGCTTATGTTTTAGTTACTTCGTCTTGTGTGTACATCACCATCGATTTATTGTTATGATACAAATACATGTGGTAATTGTCTAAGTCCATATTCATTACAATGTTCATCAAATATATATTCAACAATGACTCAATCATGTGCCAATGCCACACTAACTCAACGTTATCAACAGTCAATTTATTCCGGTGTAAATTTTCAAATTGTTGCTCAATGGGCAGTGAATACTGGTGGCGCCGGTTATCAACAGATAATTGCGAATTCAACAGTAAACATGATGAATCGAACAGTACTTGTGGGCGATGTTTTAGCATTAAAAGGTCAATTTATTGGAAAAGAAATTTCAACTGATAATACAACTGATTATCGATGTATAAATCCAACGATTGCCAGTAATGCATTTACATGTTCAGTAGGAAGTTTATCATCAAATAGTACTACATATCGATATTTATTACAAACAACAATTATACAAGCAATACAAATAGCGCCCATAACTATGTATAATAGCGTTGGATTTTTTGATGTTCAAGGTAGAATAACACAAAATAATGTAACATCATATTCAGCTTCAGCTATGTTACTTGTTGAGTGCAATATCGACTGGGTTGAAATTATCGGACCATCATTAGGAAATATTAATGTGATGAACTCATTTATAGCAAATATATATCCTCCTAGTAAGTATCTCTTTTTAAATCAGAATATTTAGTTTGATCAAATTATTTTTATTGTTTAGATGCAACAGTGACGATATATATGTGGTTTATTAATGGCAATAATACATTCAATTCAACAACAAATATGATGACTATATCTTTTCCCCAGGTTGGTATCTATACAATTGGTTGTCGCGCAGAAAATCTTCTTTCCGCGAAATATAATTCTACCATGGTTAATATAGAAGATATTATATTAAATTTAGCATTACATGCTGGTAATATAACAAATGTTTCGACTTCTATGCCATTAGAAATAGCAAGATTTCAATTAAACATGGCTACGGGCAGTGATTATACATGTCGAATCAATTATGATACGTCACAATCAACAAGTAGGGTTTATTTTTATATATTTGGCTATATACCTGGAAGTTATGTGACCAATCAATATTTACAACCAGGAGAATATAATGTAAGTCAAATTTAATGGATTTATCGATAAGAAAAAAATTGAGCTCAGTTGAAATTAACTTTTCAAAAGTGAATAGAATAAGTTAATCTAAATGAGAACATTCGTTAGATTTGAGTCAATACATGAGGAGCTAATATTCACCATCAATCACAATTAAGTATCGTATACGTAACTAGTTAATATGTGATTATTATAAATTGAATAGAAACGATTAATTAAATTTTCTCATGATTCTTTAGGTCACGTGTACTTGTGAGAATACTGTTAGTAATGCATCGTATTCATTTATTCATTATGTACAATATCCGATAGTCGGTCTTCAACTACAGGAACAGGGTATATCGAAAAACAGGAATTTTCGTTTAAATTTTACAATAACACAAGGAACAGCACCGAAATTTCGCATTCTGGTAAATGGTACACAAATTAATTACACATACAATGCACGATATAATCTTGTTCAAACAGATGAATTGCCTGCTCAGTCGTTATCGGTTATTTTTAAGGTTGAAATTTATGCATGGAATTATTTATCATCAAGTTATGTATCTGACGTATTTTCTATTGTTTCACCTATAGTGAATCCTCAGATAAGATCATCGATTGGGAATACATTATTTCCTGGTCCTATTCTATTTGAATACACAATGTATTCCGGTGAAAATATCAATGTTGTATTTTACTTTGGCGATACAATGTTTGATGATCCAATTACATGTCACTTTGCTGGTAATTATATTGCTAATGTGTGGAATTCGTGTCCAGATACAAATCATACATTTGTAATTCCTGGTACATTAACAGTTATTGTCGCGTTTACAAATGAAATAAATACAATTTACAGATATTTAACAGTAACACTATCAACATCCATTACTCCAATTGAACCTGTTACAATTTTACAAATACCATCAAGTAAATGTGTTGCTCCATATGTGGAAAATCGTGCTATTGCTTCATTTATGATTCAATCATTAAGTTTAACATTGAAACCAGCTTCAAATGCACAAGTTACAATTATCCCTGATTCAATTAACCAACCAACAGTGACACAAGGACCCTTTCAATTAACAATGAATTATTTTGCTTCGCCAGCAGCTAGTTCAAATGGTCTTAATGTTGTCTATAAATTACCTGGTAAAATAGAAGAAAATCTACCACGAATAAATTAATATATATATATATACATTTTTCTTTCTTTCTTGTAGGAGCTTATACAGCTATTTTTAAAGTTAGTAATAACATTGACTCAGCGAATATTAGTTGTGTTGTACAAGTTATACCAATTCTTCAAAATATTTATTATTCAATTAGTCCATTAAATTGGGCGTTGCATTCTCTAACACCGCTTCAAGCGTCGATTTATGTTGCTGATCCGAATCCAGGCCCGGTTACGTTAACGTGGGATTTTGGTGACGGTACAATTGTTTCTAGAGCAAGAACAGGTACAGATTTTTAACAAATTGTCATTTCAGCACCTTTTTCCTCATCTAGAAATGAAATAATGGATAATAGGTTTCTCTTGCTTTCATGTCTTGTAATGACATCTGTTCATAGTCTCAAAGTTATAGTAAAAGTCCTAGAGAATTGGTTGATAAAAGGACATACATCGATTGCATTGATCAAAACTCGAAAATTTTGAGACTTTTCACTTCAATAGAAAAATAGAGTAAGTTTCTGTAAGCTATGACTTAAAAAACTTAGTCAAGCATTTGATTTCCTGCTGATTTATTGGTTAGTCATTTTTAGAATGCATAGAAAATAATGTTATAAATCTTCAACTATTCTATTTGCTCCTCTTTAACAGAAATCGAAATAAAGTTTACTTTTCTACTTCATTGAATTTTTAGTTTATTTTATCCGTATCATTTTTTTCACAGCTACTCAACAGCTTCAACCCGATACAACATCCCATGCATATACATCAATCGGTACTTACACATTGGCAATATCAGCTCAAGGTCCATATAATACTGTAACGAAAAACTTCTCCATCATAGTTCAATATCCTGTTTCGACATTTTTTGTCAACTTTACAAATATAATCGGTTCTCCGAGTTTGATCGTTTATAGTGGAAGTAAGTTTTAATATCAAAACTAAAATCAGATTAAAAAAAAAACATACTGAATATTTTCTCAGCTCCAACAACGATATCATTAAATGTAAACGATCAAAGTTTGCCATCAGCATCAAATCTTAGTCTATTTGTTGATTATAATGATACAAATCTATTAGCAACAAATAGTGTCATTGATGTTGGATTGCCATACATCAATTCTTATAGATTTCTCTCGTCCGGCATTTATCTTGTTAATTTTACTGTTTATAACTATGTTTCGTCAGTCACTCAAATAATTAAAGTTGCCATTAATGCACCATTTAATAATTATGCATTTACCGTTTGTTATTTACTACCAACATTAACAAGTTCGTTAAGTGACACATGCAATTTAACATTAAATACTGGATTCTATTATATACCTAAACAAAGTCAATTAGTTGTTTATGTAACATGGACAAATCCAAGTAAGTTTCAGAAGGAAAGAAAATTTCGTCGAAAACAAAAACATCTTCTTCTATTTTAAGGTGGTGTTGCTGAATCGTTTGATGTTTTCTTTAAAAATGCTTCGACTATGGTATTTAATCAAACATTAATGCTGAGTCAAGTTGCAAATTTATCAGAAATCTCTGGCGTTGCTTCTGGTACGCCATTATTTCGTTTAGTTATCGATCTGGAAAGTAATAATCTCTTATTAGTAAGTTAATATTCATCAATTTAGAAAAGATAATTTCTCTGAATTTTAATTTATTATCGTAGGACGGTCTATATACTCTTCAAGTAAGAGCTAACAATCCATTATTTACAGCTCAATACTCGTTAAACATATATATTTTGTCAATGGTCGCTGGTTTATCAATAGATGATAATGATATTCTTGTTGCACCCAATGTTCCTAAATCATTTCTAGCAGTATATCAAAATTTTTCATCATTATCTTGCTTATATATTCAATATTCGGGTAATAAGAGTGAATGCTACGGAGATTCAGTATCATGTTCATCGTTGGCATCAGATTTGACACCCGTATTACAATCATGTCCATTGCCAATACAATCGTTTGTTTATAATAATTCATCAATTTCATTTACACATACATTTAGTACATCAAATGCATGGGTGTATGCTTACGCATGGAACTATGTCACATATACGAGTGCAAGAGCTTTTTTTCCGTTTCCATTATCAAATTTTAGTTGTAGGCTACCAAAAGTACAATTTGATGTTTACAATCCTGTAATGCGTTGGGCACGTCGTGTTCAACGTAGTCACGCATTTTCAGTTGTAACTCGAATCAATTTGTCTTGTTCAGGTTCATTGAGCAATATCAAACAATGGAATATATTAAAATGTAATACTCAGACAGAGCAATGCTATCAAACACAAGCACTAAATCAACTCGTATCTCAATTACCAACAGCACAAACATCGGAAATTTATCTAACGGCACAAACATTACCGATAGGAACCTATTTATTTAATTTTACCGTTTCAATGAGTTCACGACCAAATGTGTTAACATCAGATTATACTTATGTACAAGTTGTTTCATCAGATATCATAGTTAATTTACTTATGAATGGAACATCGATGATAACCAATGGAGTAGCACAAAGTATTCTATTTCAACCAGGTGCTTATTCAATTGATCCTGATTCCAATTATTTTAATGCTCAAGTAAGATATTCTATATTTTGTTTTTCAAATGCTAAAATTATTTGATTTTAGAATTGGACATACGAATATTATTGTCGCATCTATGGGCAAGCTTCTTATCCGATGTTCAACGGACAAGAAATATCAATTGATTCTACTCTTGTTGATCCAGTCAATCCATCATGTTTCGATTCGCCAGGTAACATCTACCAGTAGAAAAAAAAATCTAGATTTTAAAAATAAATGCCATAAAATTCTTGAGGAAAATTTCGCACGAGGGTATACTGTAATAAAAATATTTTCTACTGAATGTCATAGATCGTTTTAGTGATTCGCCGAATTTGTATTAAGACTTAAGAATGTTCTGAGAAATATTTTGAATAAAACCAGTTCATACAATTAAACCCGACGCATAAAATTGCCTTAAATGAGACTAGATATAAAATTCAATAAATAACTTTGTTAAATCTGCAATATTTTTTATTTTTTCTTCTTAGGTAATACTAGTCTTTTTAAATATGGACCAGATACTAATCAATCAATTCTTTATATTGCACCGTTTGCTTTACAATCTGGTCTATCGTATGAATTTAAAACTATTATAACAAATATTTATGATACTTCAATTCAATATGCCGGATATGCTGTAGTACAAGTTCAAGAAGATAATTCTGTTGAGATTTCTGTTGAGTAAGATGGAACAGAATCGAACTATTCAAAATAAAAAAACGAATGTCTTTGTTCTTTCAGATGTGTTATTAATATGTGTATACCAGACGGTGAATATCAACTTATCAATCCAACTACACAGGCTCTTGTAACATCAGCTTGTGTTTCCGGCTGTGAAAATATGACAAATGCTGATATTCAATGGAGTGTTTATTATGGCTTGCAAACAGGTTATCCAAATAATGATGTACAATGGATTTTATTTACAAATATGAGTTCATTTGATAATATATTTTTCTACGGTATTTATCAAAAAATATTTTTCATTTCGCGTTTCAAACTTAGCCTGTTTCTTTTTCAGGTCGAACTAGAGTAAATTTTACAGTAACAAATGAATTATTTTTAAGTTATCCAACAATTAAGTATTGGCAATTTCAATCATTCTATATCGTAACAACAAATAATGGTGTTGCAACTGGTGCAGGCGCAATAAGATTTTCAATTAATTCACCACCAGAAAACGGTACATGTACGGTCAGTTCTACAAATGGAACTTCTATGACATCTTTTGAATTTTCATGTTTAAATTGGTCGGATCCCAATGGTATTGGTGGTTATTCATTTTATGGTAAGTATACTTATACGTATGCTACATAAAATAGAACATAAGACAAGGGTTGTCTTAATATGAATGCATTTTGGCAATCAACTGTATAGAGTGTAGACCTACGGAAAATTACGCATTGTCTCATTGAGTTTTATTTATTACTGCATATCTCCTCCTAACTGATTTTGTGAAATTCAAATATTGTTTCGATAACGAAGATCTTTAAAACAAATGATACACATTATATATATTTCCAAGAAAAGATAAACTATTTGTATGATCTCATTTAATATTCTTCTAGCATATACATCAATTGGCAGTGGTCGAATTCTGATCGCTTTTACAACATTATCAATTGTCGAATTATATCTACCAATTGGTGATCCAAATAACAGTTATGCACTTCAGGTATTCGTTGAAATTCATGATATATATGACGTTATTGCTACTTATAATTTGTCAACTATTACTGTAAGAATTTCAAGATCTCCTGTCATTCTTCGATTACATATAAAAATCTGTTTTGCTGTTTTAGGTCATTCCAGATGACGCAGCAATAATGAGTTTTATTGCGTTATCACAATCATCGGCGACATTAGGTACCACTAATAATTATCTTGAACGATTACTTTATAGTGGAAATCAAAATATGGCAAGTCAATTAGTATTATCTTTATCACAAGTGCTTAATTTAATGTATTCAAGAGCGCTAGATAATGCTACATCAGGTTGAGAGAAAGAAGACAGCTTTTGTTTTTTGACGAATTTAATTTCAAAACTATTTTCTTATTCTAGAAAATATACCTGCACAAAATCTTTATGTATCCGGTTTACTTGCATCGAATTCGGTCAGTTAAAATAAAAACGTATTCATTGAATGTCATTTTCAATATATTCTCTATAGAATTCTATAACGACGAACACATCGGCAAATGCAAGTGATGCAATGAGGACATTTGCAGCTGCTCTCAATGTTGACGCTTATGTACGGGATTATGCTGTGAAATTCGTTACAACTTTACCAATAACAACTGCTCATAGTATTAGCCTTCAAGCATCAACAATGAATTATTTAACTCAAGCAACGTCAGCATTAACTCGAGATGCCGTCGTATGTTTATCAATTTGAATTTTTACTATTTTGCTGTTGTTTTTTTTCTTTCTGGCAAATAGGCTTCAGCTGCATCGAAATGTAGTGATTTAGTTAATGTACTAAGTGGAATGGTTTACACAGTATCCTACGAAGATGTAAAACTGGCAGTTGAAGGTATTACTCAATTAGCAAGTAATATTCTAGTCGCTGTTAATACACCATTGATGGGTCGTGGTATTGCTTTAAATTTGGATTATGATAGTGCTAATAGGTTACCAGCAGATTATGACACGGATCTTGAGTCTCCTTGGTCGAATCCAAATCTATTCGCTGATAAAAATGATTTCTCATTGGAAACAATATATAAAAATAGAAATTTATATTATCAACAACAGAGTGCAAATGAAGCTATGCAACAAGTAGAAAATATACTAACAGAATCTGCTAATACTCTTAGTGTACATATGAATATTGGGCAAACCAATGTCATAGTTACAGATTCAATATTAATGACAACGTCAAAATTAACAATCGAGAATTTAGATTCTCTAAATATTTCAAAAGTTGGAGGTTCTATAATTCGTCTACCAAACCTATCCTATTGTAGTTTGTTATTGGACAATGATTTCTGCTCTAATAATACTGAAATTACAACTAACGTAAGAATATATTTCTCGTCTCTATGAAATTTATCTGTTTGTTTTTTTCTATGTTTTAGTCAGTTGATATACCTTTAGCCGGAGCTGGTTATAATGGACGTGCATACGCAAATGTGAATATGTCTCGAAGCGTATCACTGGAATTATTGGATTCAACAGGCGCAGCTATACCAGTTACAAAGCTTCCACAACCAATTGAAATAATAATTCCACGTGATCCAAATTTAGTTATACCGCCCATGACATTAGAAAATGCCACTGGAGAAACAAGATCAACAGGAGCTAATAATAATCGACTATTCTCACTTTATTATGTTAATGTAACAAGTTCAATAGCAGGTTTAACGTTATCAGCAACGTTTGAATTACAACCAGATAATTTATCGACGGGTTATTTCGTTATTTTAAGTTTTGATGCCATTCCAATATTGAACAGTACATTGAATACCATATATGGATATAAACTTTTTTGTCCGAAAGGTAAATCTGAATTTCTCATTATCCAAAATATTATTCTGTTTCTTTTCGTTTTTATTAGATCAAATTTTGACCGATAGCGATGGTTATCTTTATTCATATTTTCTTGATAATATTCAAACTTTGAATCATGAATATGCTATGTTTGGCATACGCGAATTGAATGCATCCGAATATCATAGTTATTGCATCAACTACGTAAATATGTCGAACTCAGCAATACTAGTTAAGGATGAAATAGTTAATTTTACTTCAAACTATCGACTACGTTCATATACATCAGCTTGTTATTATCTTGATGCAAGTCTTTATTGGGACACGCAAAATATGTTGGTAAGTTTAGTCGTTCTTTTGTTGAACTTATAGCTTTGTGACATAGTCAATATTAACATATTGAGATGTATTACAATATGTCTGGACCTAGTGTAGAAATATAACGTTAAATTAAGAAAAAATAAAAATAAAAATATGTCTACCTTAGGTTGGCCCACAAACTAGTCATACTCAAACACAATGTTTTACAAATCATTTAACAACATTTGCAGGCGGATGGATCGTTTTACCGGCACCAATCAATTGGAATTATGTATTTGCTAATGCTGATTTTTCGAAAAATATGACCATTTATTTAACACTGATAATACTGGCAATATTTTATATTATATTTATGATTTATGCTCGATATAAAGATAGAAAAGATGTTGAAAAAGTAAGAAAAAAAAAAGTATAGAACCTACCGATTCAATTTATTGTGTGAATGTTCTCGTTTTCTAGCTTGGTGTTACTCCATTACCAGATAATATTCGGAATGATAAATATTATTATCAAATACTTGTATTTACTGGTTTTAGAAAGGACTCGGGAACTAGTTCAAAGGTAAATTATTTATTTGTACTAGTTGCTTGAAAGGTTTTAAAAAAAGAACAACGAATCCTATTTTATTAAAGGTTCATTTTGTTATCTCTGGTGACGATGAAGAAACAGGCGTACGTACTTTAGAAGATCCGAAAAGAAAAGTTTTACAACGTGGTGGTATTGATTCATTTATTATGGCTGTACCAAAGTAAATTAGATTTATAGTCAAAAGAACTTGTTGAACATAAAACTTTTCAAACATTACATTTTCAGATCACTTGGTCGACTTAACTATATGCGTATTTGGCACGACAATTCAGGTAGAGGAAATCAAGCATCGTGGTTTCTCAAATATATTATTGTGCGAGATTTACAAACAATGGAAAAAAATCATTTCATTTGTCAAGAATGGTTTGCCGTAGAAAAAGATGATGGAGCTGTAAGATTGATGGGGAGGAAAACAAAAATTCTATTGTAATTCCATTTAGATCGATCGTTTGTTACCTGTAGCTGGTGACGCACAGAAAGCCGATTTTACATATTTATTATCAAAGAAGACATATCATTCACTGTCTGATGGTCATCTGTGGTTTTCAGTTTTTTCAAGACCACCATCAACAAGATTTACATGTACACAACGTTGTACATGCTGTTTTGTTTTACTCTTGATGTCTATGTAAGTCTAACTTGGAAGGTAAAACGTGAGAGAGCTTTACAGTTTCTCAAGCGAATCGTATAGCAACTCAAATAAATTCGATTTTGGCTGTCGCAAAGGATTTCATTGATATTTTACGCAAATTCTAAGCGCAAAAGATACAATCCACTACTGTTTTGCGGAAGATAAAAATACTTGATTTTCGTACGATTAAAAACAAAATGCTAAACGTAAAAGTTCTGGCAGATATAATAATGTGATGCATGTCTAATACTCGCTCTTTTCGAAGGTGACTAACTGTTTAAAAAAATCTATTTTTCACTTAGGTTAATGAACGTGATGTATTATGATTTGTCAGCACAAGCAAAAACTGTAACAGCTGGTGCAATATCAGCGGGGCCATTTTTCATCACACCGGAACAGGTCAGTGATTGTTTTTTTCATCAACTTTTTAAAATCATCAATATTGACATTTAGATTGGAATTGGTGTTATTGTTGAATTAATTTGTTTCTTGCCAAGTACAATTTTAGTGGAACTGTTTCGCCGTTTACGTCTTCGTCGAACTCCAGTATCACCTGTGCGTAAAGCTCTTGAACGAATCCAAAATGAACATTACGAACAACAAAGACAAGCTGCACTCAGCAATGTACACCCACAATTATCTAAGTAGGACAAATTCGATTTCTTCATTCAGTATCGTGATGATTTGTTTTCTTCTCTTCAAAATATTTAGCTATATCATTAATTCCGATCCGATTTTATCGAAGAATGAACTTGATAGAATGCGAAATACATTAGCATCACCTTTGCCTGATCAAAAAAATTCAAACACCATTACTGAACAAAAGTCGAAACCAAAAAATGGAAAACAGAAAATAACTTTACCATGGTGGTTCATTTTCATTGCATATGCTCTCTCATTTTTTGTTGTTGTAACATCGGGATTTTTTATTCTTGCACGTGGTATTGAATTGGGTGATGACAAAACACGTAAATGGCTTACATCGTCTATAACTGGATTTTTCTCATCAATACTTTTAACACAACCAGTTAAAGTAATACAGGAATAAAATATCACTATTCTTTTTTTATTATTAATATTTTTCTCTATACTTTTAGGTTCTGTTTATGGCAATATTTTTTGCTTTATTTATTCGTCGTGATGAAGATATTATGATCGATGACGACGAATATGACTTATTTCTTGAAGGTGATGAACAATATTTACATGTATTTGATGATCAATCTTTGTTAACGTTTCGAACGAAATCTGGGCATATACCGTTAGGCACAGGCGAATTAGCTGAAGCACGCAGTAAACGTTTAAATGAATTAAAAATGTGGGAGATTTTGCTTGAATTATTTGCATATATATCATTTCTATGGATACTTTATGTTGTTACCTATTCAAACCGTGATCCTAATGCATATTTTCTTAAGAGACATTTATCCAGAGATTTTCTCGATTTAGGCAATGCAACAAATAATTACAAACAGGTAAATATATATATATTTTTCAAAAGATTTTTATTTAAATATAGTTCAGAGAAATTACAAGATATATTGAAAACACTTGAGAACTTAGATCTACGAAACTAGTCCTGGTTCCGGGACTAAGACCTAAAAAAATACAGTTCCCATAAAAAGAAGAAAAAGAAACTTGCGTACTCTGGAATGCAATTGAAGTAGGACTGTGCTGGAGTTGTAGTAAAGAATTTCACAAAGTTTTTCTCTAAACAGGTACATACAATAGAATAGCCAGCATCGCCGAAACCGGGACGAATGAACTATAGTTCCGCACATCTCTAATTGAGAATTATTAATCGAATTATTTATAACAATAAAGATAATTTCGATCAATACTGCTAATTTGAAATTTCCTTGTTCCTAGACTGAAATCGTTCAATTGTCCAAAGGATTTTATTCATTCTCCCATTGCTTTACATTTTAGATTTATTCCATCGATCAATATTGGAACTGGTTGAGTACGGCATTTGTATCACATATTCGAGCTTCAAATTGGTATAATGGTGATTTACCAACGAATCTAAGTGGTAAATATTTGATTTCTGTCCTGTCGTTATATGGTTCTTGAAATTTTTCTTTCTTTCTAGGTTATATTGATGATAAAACAAATCGTATCCTTGGTTGGGCAACAATGCGTCAATTACGTGTGAAACCTGGTATTTTTTTTCAATCTTCTTTTTTTTCTGTTTTAAAATTGAACTTGATTTAGATTCATGTAAAACTTTGTCATCGTTTACCAGCATTATTAAATCATGCCAAGCAGCTTATAGTTATTTTACTGAAGATAAACTTTCATTTGATCCTGGTTGGACAACAATTTTCAATGCCAGTAGTACCTATATGGGATCATATCCAGCATCAATAAGAAAAGCATTTATGTATAACAAAAGTGAATCTCTTGATACATATCCATATACTGGCGAACAAGGAGTATATGGTGGAGGCGGTTATGTATATGAATTTCGTGGAACAATGAATGAACTGTTAGGAAATCTATCATTATTAAGAGAATTGTCATGGATTGATATGCGAACACGAGCTGTTATTATACAAATAAGTTTATATAATCCTAATATGAATTTATTTATATTTGTCACAATTCTTGCTGAATTCTCAGAGTTAGGTGGTGTTTATCCGTCAGCACGTATTGAACCATTATCATTATTGAATTATTTTGACGGTATAAATAAGAACGATAAATAGAACAAAAATCATACGATGAAAAAAATTCTTGTTTCTTATTTAGGTTTAGGTTTATTTAAATTTATCTGCGCAGCTATCTATATGGTGTTTATCATCTATTATATGCAACGTGAGATTCGTTCAATCATTAGTCGTCGAGCGCATTATTTTCATGATTTTTGGTCATATCCAGAAATTGGTATAATTGCATGTTCGTGGGCAGGCTTAGGTATTTATATATGGCGTACACGCGAATGTGCGAGGATTACTACATTATTCAAAGAAACAAATGGTTATGCTTATGTCAACTTACAATTAGCATCCTATGTTGATGATATATTAACATTTTTATTAGGCTTTTGTTGTTTTTTTGGCACAATTAAATTTCTTCGTTTATTAAGATTTAATCAACGTATGTCAATGTTATCATCAACATTAATGTATGCAGCCAAAGATTTATTATCATTTACCTGTATGTTTTCCATTATTTACATGGGCTATCTATCATTATTTTTTCTGCTATTCTATCCGAAAATATGGGCATGCTCTGATCTACTAAAAGCAGCTCAAATGCTATTTGAAATGATGTTATTAAAATTTAATGTTTCGGATTTATATGCAGCTGATACATTTCTTGGGCCATTTTGTTTTACGTTATTCATAATATTTGTAGTTTTTATTTGTATGAATATGGTATGCAGATAAAAAAGAATAATGAAACTGACAATTAAATTTCATTTTTATTTTAGTTCATTTCAATTATAGCGGATGCATTTCGAGTTGTGAGACATAATATGTTATTACAAACTAGTGAACATGAAATTGTTGATTTTATGACAAATCAATTTAAGAAATGGACAGGTAGGAATGAGTTTATGAATTAAATCTTGATTATTGTTTCGTTCTTTAGGTATTGGTAAAACACGTGAAATGAATCGTCTTCATTTAAATCCACTTGATGGTACTAATGTTCATTATCATGATCCAATAACAACATTTCCCGATAAAATGGATGAACTTATCATTGCATTGAATAAAGTAAGAGGATTGCTTTTGTTTTCGGATTTATTTATGTCTCTATATTAAAATCTTCGTTAGATTTATATGGATACAAACCGTAATGATACATTAACATTTCGTCCTCTGGACAGTGATATGTCGGGAATAGTCGAAGAAACAAATGCAACATCAAACAAAGCTAATAAATATTCCGAAAACTGAAGAAAACAAAAACTTTATGCTTAATATTGTGTGTGTGTATGTGATAATTATTATTTTGGTGTTGTATTATTTTACTATGAAAGTTTTCATTTTTTCTCATCAATATTAAATATCGTATGAAAAAATAAACTGAAATTCCATTCTCTCAACGTGTTGCACTACATTTGAAAAGAAAAATAAAAGTAATTTTTGACACATAAAAAATTCTCAACTCGATGAAATATGGAATTGATTGACATCTGTCAACGACAGGATATCTGCTTAATTGTAACAAAAGAATACCAAATAAGATGATTAAACTCGTATAGATAACAAAAGAACGGAAGCGCATACAATTGTTCAGTCTCAAAATAGCAATAAATTGTCAGGCGGTAGACGTAGTATTATAAGTATATTTTATCGTAGCGTACGCATACTTTATAATAATTACTCGACAGCCCACAAATCAACTATCCGATCGTTGACTTACCAAACGATAGAGAAAACATCTGTTTATGGCCATGCTTACTTGGTATAAGTTAATTAGTAGTTTTGTTTTGTCTTCGCCAATCAATCTGTTTTTTCAATTTAAGATGATCATATTGAACCATAAATGTTGTCCTACTTATCAGTAAATGGTCATCTATTGCTATGTCTATTTGATTTAGGTTATGTTTGATGTTTATTAAACGTTGTCATCGATCGCAACGATACAAACAGTCAATCAGTTGCTGTTTTTTTCAAATAAAGGGAGGTGATAGAATGAAACACACATATTGACTTGATTTTTCAAAAGAAGCTGAGCAAAAAATAAATCTATAAAAAATATTTATCTATCATCGAATCTTGCTATCGCATTTGATAATCTTCGAGATGTTATTGATTGTTGAGACATGATATTAATGAATACTTAAATATTTCTTGCTTTCTTACGATTGATTTTTTTGTTTTGAATATAAAAAAAAAGATGTTTTTATTTCCTAGGGATGTACTTCCTCACAACATGCAATCTGTAATCACGATTGAATTTTTCATCGTAATTATCTACTGCTGTTAAAATAATGACTATAAAAGAGTATAATTTTCTATTTGAATAAATACCAACATCACATAAACCGGTAGTAAATGATCAAAGTGTTGAATAGCGGTTACTAAATATTTTTTTACAAAGTGTCGTGAAATAAAATGTATTTTATTGAAAAAGGTCAACCGTGGCTTATGGAATGATCAAAAAGCGATAACTGCTTTTCACGTTGATACAGACTATCACCTACTCTTATGTCTAACCAGACAGAACGAGTGCACTATTCGATCCATTTAACATGACCGAGTGTCCATTTGAGAGATGCTATTGACCGATGAGCGGTTAAACATCTGTTACTTCTACGTTTAATGACTTCGGCAGCTAGTGTTCAATGAATGAATTCTATGGAGAAGCGACATCTATTCTTTTTCTATAGTTTATTTCTACTATAAAAAGACGATGCTATTTTACAAAAGTTCAAATCATTCTCAAACAAAATGTTTTTCTCTTATATCGTGTATCATAGTTTACAAGTATCATCCAAGATAACTATTTTAACTAATTAAGAAGGTTCATTCGTCTCTATGATGGCTATGGCTCATCTATTGTTTTTTATGTCAAATAATCAATTCGTTATCTTTTCTAAGCTTCCGCATGAACATATCTAAATTAAATCGTTCAATATATATATATGTCGGAGTTGACTCTAAAATTCAGTTGACTTTAAAACAAATCGAAATATTTCTTTGTTTTCTTTCCAGTATTCAGAAATATTTTCAAGTCGACTAGTTGCCTTTTAAAGTTAACTGAATTTTAAAGTCAACGCTAACATATATATATATATAGTTTTTTTTTTAAATTAGCATTGCGTGTATAATAATTCGTTTCAAACATGTATTACTATATACATACTCCCTAGAGAACAAAGAAAATCGAATGGAAGCTTAATACATGCAATGTATTAACCTCTTTCTTTTATTATAGATCATCTATTTAGTCATACAGTAAATTCTTTTTCATCATGTCGAATTTCTCTAAAGATCATCCATCAATTCGGTAGATAAACTTTTTAAAATTTATTTCAATATATTTTCCATTTTTCTTCGGTAGTGTTTTTGCACCGCCAGGTGGTCGTAGTGCTAATATTTTTGGTGTTCCTGAACCTGAAGCACCAGCAACAGCAAAAAAGAATCATATGGAGTCAGATATATTCGGCTGTAAAAAGGACCAAACGGATTCTGCACCAGCCAAGTAAATACAATCTAATTGAATTTTTTTTCTGTATTAATTGAACTGAATTGAATTGAATAGACAAACACGTAATGTAACAAATAATATATTCGGAAGTCAACCTGAACAAGCAGCTCCAAAACATAATATGTATTCAGATAAAAATAAATCGACAATTTTCGATGAAGCACCACCTCAACAACCATCAAATAAGCCTGATCGTCAACGATCAAATATATTTGGTACAGATGAACCTGTACAATCAACGTCGACACGAGCAGTCTCCGATAAATATAAATCAAATATATTCGGCAATGCAGATGATGATGCACAAAACAAACGTCAACCGGGTACAAGACAAGGTCTACGAGGTAGGTTACAACAAACAAACTATCATCAAGATAATTATCGGCCATCTATTGCCATAAGTCTTTATTCACCATTGAGATTAAAAGGTAGCAGTCAAGAATAAAGAACAACAATATGCATTATGTTTCTATTCTGCATTTCATTTTCTTTATATTATATAAACTTTTCTTTAGATCCAAATGCATCACGCAGTGAGTCTGCTATTTCGTTTTGTGTTTATACTTGTTTTATTTCTGAACTAAAAACAAAAGAAAAGCTGTTTTTTTCCTTGAAAAAGAACAACCTATGAATTTTTTTGTTTCAGTTGTAACTTTTCTCTTTCATAGTGCGTGCTTATTGCTTTTGTGAATATTAAGACCATAAAAGAGATAGGTCCTGTGCGGTTTATATCATTCCTTTTGTGTTAGTGGATTTTCAACATTCAACACATAGAACAGTGTGTCTCACTCTTACTAAATCAAATAACTCGTTTTATTTTTTTTAATCTTCTAAAACCAATATCACAGACGATTTTTTTATGCATGATCCTTTTGTTTAGACGTTTATCATTCGTCAAGCTTCAATCTTATTCGTGTAAATGCCTACGGCTTTGTTGTATTGTTGCCCACCTTTCACTTGCTTTTTGGGATATAATCATAATAGGTTAAAATATTCAATGAGATTCGAAAGAAAAGCAATATCTAACTCCTGATTTTCGTTTTTAATGTATAAACTTTTTAAATGCTTCACTGAACTTTTGCTTCGGATTGTGCTTCATCATTATTTTAAACAGATTTTTATATTTGAAATGTTACTTTATTTTGCTCTGTTTTTCTTATTACAGTGGGTTATAATCCAATTAATGGTGAATCTTATTCAACTAAAGATGGCTTGAATTCAAAAGTCGAACCAATTGAAACTGTGAAAGAATCGGATGAAACAAGTAAACCAGTTGAAGAAGAACAAGATGGTAAACAAGCAGAAAATGCCACTACTGAACCATCTACTAATTCGACACAAAATGGTAATACTGAGCCAGCAAGTGAGAAACAAACGAATGGCCAGACGAATGGTACCAATGGTCACACGAATGGTACCAATGGTCATACAAATGGTACTAACGGACATACAAATGGTACTAACGGACATACAAATGGTACTAACGGACATACAACGACAAAAGTAAGAAAACGATTTTATAATACGAATTAATTATTAGCTTCATCATTATTTAGCTCATGTCTACTTTGTTTATCATATTTTGAGAGGGAGAGTCTGTTTAGATAATATGACGGTTCGTTGATGATCACTACCCTGTTTACCTATCTGCAACAGAATAGGATGTTAACAATTTTATGTTTTGATGTGAGAAAAATTCTCATTCTAATATTATTGCTGTGGATATACAATATTTTACGTCGCCGAGTAAATTCCATGGTTACCCTCAGGAGAATTCATTTGTGAACATTGCAAAGTTAGCCACTTTTTCTCTCCTGAGATTGCTACTATTCTGATAATAGTGTTTTGCACATCGCTAGATCAATTATTTCTATCTTTCGAAAGATTTGAAACTTTGGGAAATAGAAAAATTCTCATTAAGTTCAATCATTCCATTTTCTGAGGCAGATAACAATAAAATCAAGGGTATGAATCCTTTTTAGACTCAGTTTTTGTTTATATATTAAACATAGTCTAGACTCGAAAGACGACTTCACTTGCTTTGTAAACATTCATCATCTCCAAGAATTCTCAACAATTCAATAAATTTCGATTATTTATTTAACAAAATTTTCGTAATATTATCATTTGGTTTTTCTTTCTTTCTATTAATAGAATGCGCCTACAACTGTTCGTGTTGTTCATCCACCAGGTGGTCGATCAAATGGTCCACTTTGGTAAAATTCATATTCAATTCTACTAATTCAATGGCCAAATTGAACAAAATACTTAAATAATCAATGTTGTGTTGTGTTTCAAACAGTTGTTTGGTTCTTTCTTTCTTTCTTTCTTTCTTTCTTTCTATGTCATTATTCTTATTGCGTTATAATTTATATTATCTTATGGGTTTATCTGGTCTCAATCATTTAATCAAACAACATGCCTCAGATATATCAATTCACGGTGTTTTCTCCCTCTTTCTCTTCTTTTTTTTGTTTGTTTCATTATCTCTTAGCGTGTGCCTGTTAATCAAATATTATCCATTTGTCTGTAGTAGAGAATGAATGTAGCAAAGGAAAATTCATTTTCTTCTGTCGTGCGACAATTCAATGATCTTTCTTTTTTTTTTTGACTTATTTACGCGTGCATTTAAATCGTGAAACAAGCAAGGAGAAAAACGAATAACAAAAAATAATTATGTAGACTTTCAAAAAAAAATTGAATTTTTTCTCATACTTTAGATATGATCAGTCAACGACGCTAAGAAAGACAGATAGACGAATTAGGTCGTATTTCTTACCGCCGGTGACGAATGTACAAACGATAGTTCGAATATATATATATATATAATTATATCGGAATGTAAGTGTTTAGTTCTATTCATACGAAGAGTGATTTCTATTATCTTGATAATCTAGCAAAATATGATCTCAAACGGTGCATTGGATGGGGAAATGTATGGAGTTTCACCATTTCAACAAGTAACATAAATACATAAGAAATCATCTTTGTTCTTATTTCCATTGAGATTCTCTTTTAGGGAAGAACATTCATGACACCGCCACGTAATCCACCAATTTATTATAATAATTCGAGTTATTCACAACCATCGATGATGGCACGTGATGTTACATTGAATACTGCTGGCACTAGTAATAGTACAAATAATGCTAGTGGCTATTTATTTGATCTACATTCACATTCGGTACAAAGCAAATTTTCACATGTGAGAATATCAAGTATAAAAATGAAAACAAGAGGGTTTCTCTTTTTCGTATGTTAAAATGAAAGAAATTCGATTGACAATAGCATATCGACTCATACATGTTCAATTGCTTCTATCGACATCTTGATATTTACGTTATATGCGATCAAATATATATATATATATAAATATATTAGAATCAATATCCGTAAGGTGCAGCAATGTCTTTTGCTTGAAGCAGTAAACAATTGCACGACTACGTCAGAATGAACGTCCCTCTAGGTATTCTCTCATTAACACGATTTGGCTTTTTAAATGATTCGCCATTCAATTTCCTACAAAAATATGTTACAAGTTTTGCTAAAAAAAGAATAAAATAAATTGGAATATGTGACTTCAATTCGACCAAAGTCGCATTGATAAAACGTCATCGAAATGATGTGCCAAACTGAAACGTCGGGATTTGAAAAAACTCTCTTGAATTTTTCAACACAAGCGAAATTTCTAGATTTTCTTACTGAAATATGTATTGGAAACGGATTGTAATATAAATGAGACTGTACACCTTTTTCCCTTCTTAATTTATTCTGTCGTTTAAAAATTGAAAATATATTGAAGCAAAACCTGTAACATTTCCTTGTCAAAAAAAGACTGGATCCCGTGAATCTTTTTCTTAACTACAATGAAAATAGTAATCCATTTACTTTCATAGCTACCGATAAGGAGTAGTATAAAGCTATCATTCCATATGATGTGTTTTGTTTAATTTAGACTAACAATATGATGGGAGCATCTCGTTTGCCACATCTTGGTATCAATGGACCGTTCAGTAGTCTTGGGCCAGTTTCCAGTCATGGTAGGTCTAGTTGACAAACTTTTTATTTTTCCTAAGCAAAGTCTTTTTTGCTGCACAAATCTATTGCTTTGCTTGTGCATCTTTCAGTACGAAAAAGCTTACAAATGACAAGTATGCTTTTGTACATTATTGATATTTGAAAATAAAAGAATCATGCATGTTTGATTAATTTGCTATTTTTTGTGCATGAACTTTGTTTGTTTTTTAAAAAGATTTAAGTTCTATTTTGTTTATTAAATTTTCGTTTAGTTGATGCAGCAGCCGCGGACAATAGTGCACGTATGTCGCCAGAGAATAATCTTGATTTTTATGCTTATTCACAAGCGGCACCATATAGTGTAATTTTCGCGATCTTTTTATTTATTTATTATTTTTATTCGTTTTGTTATCGTACATATTAAAAATAATAATAATAATTGATTGTATATAACATATGCAGATGCAGCAATTGACCGATGATGATCTACTTATTGGTGGCGTGAATCGAGATGAAAACGAACGTACAATACAACCTGATATGTCATCTGTTCGACAAGTCCGATCTGATTTTGCATATTTTATGAGTGATGAATTGAGGTAATTTGCATATCTAAAAGGCAAGTTTTCTATAAGCTTCGGGCTCTTTTTTTTTGTTTCTCACAGAAGTGAATTACTCAGACGTAATCAGACGTTAATGGCCTGTGCAAATCTTGATGTTGTAGGAGGTAATAGGATTGAACACGAAAATATCAATGTGTTAAACATTATCCATTTAAGCTATGCCTGAGCGTGTTGGTGATTATTACAATTTAATTCCACTTGACAGTAGTCAAGCTAATGTTCCACATAAATCCCGTGCATTTCGTTATCAAACATTAAGTTATAAAGCAACACATATAAGAACGAATGCTACATGTTATTTAAAACGAATAATGGGTATAACACTTATTTTCGATTATTTCAAAAGTCTTTTTATTTCTTTTCTTATATTTAAAAAAAAAACAAAAAGGATGTAAATTACCAGTGGCACGTCTTTACGATGTTGTTGAAGCATGGAAAAAAATTGTTCATGCTAATATTGTACAATTACGTGAAGTTTTTCTAACAAAAGATTTCGACGATGAACAACCATGTATTTATTTTTCTTTTCATTAGTAATGGACTCTTATTAAAAATATTTCTAGCTATTGTTTTCGTCTATGATTTTATACCGTATTGTGAAACATTACAAAAAAGACATTTCAATGCTACTAGTAGCCTATTGAAAGGTTGGTCTAATCCATATAATATATCGGGTGAAGATCGTCCATTCAGTGCTGGCAAAGGTATGTAAAGATAATATTAAATTTTGTTTTACAAATTTCCTGTTCGTTAAGGAACCAGTAACACAAGTCTACTGTCTGAATCCCTCATTTGGGAATATGTTGTACAAATATCATCATTGATTCGAACATTACATGGAGTATCACTGGCATGTCGATGCTTGAATCTATCACGAATACTTGTTGATGGAGATTCAAGAGCAGGACGCGCAAAGTCTAGGTATACAACAATAGAAATTCGATGACTGTTATTTGTTCAGTATGAATTTCATTCAACTGATATATGATATTCTTCATTCTAATAGAATATGGCTTAGTGGCGTTGGTATTGCTGATATTCTTGATGGAACCATCAATGGTACTGTTCATCAACACATAGTAAAATAATCGATTTTAACAATTTTCTTTTGTTGAATTTAAAATAGTTTTTTTTTTCTAGTTAAATGATTTACAAGATTTCGGTCGTTTAATATTAATGTTAGCATGCAACTCAAGTGTAGGCGCACAAAAAGAACATTTACAAACATCATTAGAAATAGTTCAACGAAATTATTCAAATGATCTTAAAAATCTTATTATGTAAGATTTCTATTCTTAATCAAAAAGTCATTGAGCAATCTTTGTTTACAAATCAATTTTAATAATTCCGACTGATAACTGTAGACAATGCACAGATTTCATTATAAGAAATACGTTAAATCTGTATGTCATCTATAGACGATGCTATTTATAATTCTTCGAAAAATTAAGATGAAAATTTTGAGTTTGCATCGCGAGAAAGTAAATTTCACACATTTCTATGTTATCTTCATATAGGTATTTTCATTTTTCTGAAGCCTCTTAACTGACAATACGGTAATCAACTGCCATCGTTGTTGATTAATAAGTGCAGCCATAGCTATTGTAATCAAAGACTGCTGAATCAGTTTTTAGGCCAATCAATAGATTTTCATTGATTGTTTTTAGGCATTTCTTACTACCATCGAATACATCAAAACCTAAAACTATCAATGAATGTATGCCAATGATTGGTGCACGTTTTTATGCGCAAATCGATAATTCGCATGTCCGCGGTGATAATCTAGAAAACGAATTGGCTAAAGTAAGTCAATGTAACACATATATAGATTCACTGTTGATAATGTATTTAGGAACTCGATTGTGGCCGATTATTTCGTCTAATCTGTAAACTTGATGCACTCCTTGAACGACCAGAGTAAAATTATTTGCTTTTAAATATTTTCTGATCGGCGAGAATTTTATTTTATTTTTTAGACATTCAATAAATCATGCTTGGTCCGAGACAGGTGATCGATATATTTTGAAATTATTTCGCGATTTTATATTTCATTCAGTCGGTTTCGATGGTGAACCGATTCTTGATATTGCACATATTGTTCAATGTTTGAATAAAGTAAAAATGAATTTTTATTATTCTTATGTAGCTATGAGCATTTTTATTTTGCAGTTTGATGCGGGTTCACACGATAAAATTTGTCTTACATCACGAGATGAACAAAATGTTATTATCGTTAGTTATTCCGAGCTACATCAAGCGTTCGAACGTGCTTTTACCGAACTAATGAACTATGCATCAACTGGATCAACCTAAAAAAACAAGAGAAAAAGATCTGCTCATGAGAAAGAAAATCGTCAATATCATTGATTGTTCATCCTAGATGTAATATGTATTTTTTTTTGTCAACGTATTTGTAAAGTATAAAGAAAATTCTACAGCGTTGTTTTCTTTTTCAGCATCGTTTCGTTAGATTTTATTTCTTGATTATAAAAAAAAGCATAATTAATCGTCACTTTTATGCGTCTAGATGATAGAAGATTGTATTGTCTGTTTTAATCTTATATTCTATAAAAACATAAAATCAAGAATCGGTGTAGTTCCTTTTTTTCTTCTTCGGTTCAATGTGTAACATTCAATTTTTCTTTTCTTTAACAAACTATATATTATTAAAAATAAAACATAAATCACACATGCGGTCTGTTCAAAAATATGCTCAAAAACTCTGCGGCATTGTTGATGAAAAAAAGCAAATGTTATTATTAGGAAAAAGAAAATGCTTAAAAGAAATTAAAATGCCATTTACACCGTACTTGATGTAACAGAAACAGAAAAAAGAGAAGAAAAGAAATGTATTGTATTTTTTTCTTTTGGTTTGAAACATGAGAATAATAAAAATCCAATAGAACATAGCAACATCAATAACAACAATGATTGCTAAACGTTTCTTTTTTTTTATTCAGCTACACAACATTTTTATTCGACAATAAGAATTGATTTTTATCATGACACAATTCGGAACAACAGATTCAGCTAGTCATCTTAATCGTATTCTTCCTACACCATATACTCCATCTTACATCGGCCGGTCAGTAATAAAACGAAGAAATATCTTGAATTATTAAGCAAAAGAAAATAAGAATTTTTTTAGTCATCCAATTTATCCAAAAGCCAGTCCTGATATTGCAACACGTATATTTAATCCAATATTTCCAATTCATTGGCAAAAATCATCGGATAATTATGCTGTAAAAAGTCGAGACTATCATTGTGCAACGTATACATATCTTGGACCGGAATGGTTTAAAGCACCACCTAAACATTATGAAACATATAAAGAACCTCTCCGTCTGCCAGGCGACAATTCAACTGTATGTTCACATTGATTATTCAATGAAATTGTGAAAATTTCTTTTTCTACATATTTAGCGTATCCGACCGAAAAGTGTTCCAAACCAAGCTTCGTAAAATTCTATATATAATTACAAAAGAAAGATAGAAAATGGTTTTTGTATTTTTGTTTTTAATTAGACGATCCAAGGAGGATTATTTTCAATTTCTTAATGAATATCCGGGTCGTTTTAAAATTGAATATGCATCACCTGATGATGTTAATGATTTATGCTTTAAAAATAATCATGTTAGTTATGATGCAAATGTTGTTCATCGACCAACACGTTATGCTGTACGTTTCTTTCTTTCTTTTTTTGTCTATGATTTTCTAATAAAGTCAAAACTACTCGATTTTATTTTGTTATTTAGTTTCAAACCGATAAAGAACCATTGACATTGGCAACTGGAATACCGAACCGAATCGAACCTGTGATGTAAGTCTTGGTGATCAATGTCACATTTCGTTTTACTGTTTTATTTAGAAATCCATTTCGACAATCGGATGCACAACATGCGCGAATGACAACGCATTCAGCTTGGTACCCTTATGGCAACAGGCCTGTTCCATATCAAGATTTTGTTAGTCAAAATCCACGATTTTAATATAATAATACATTTGATTTATAATAACTGAAATAAATAATTGAATATTAAACGGAAAGAAAAGAAAAATTTCTTTCATTCTATTTTATAATTAAAATCATACAAGTTAGATAATCTTGACTATGAAAATTAAAGATTATTTTTTTGCAACTGCTCAACATAAATCATATCAGCGAGATGTTTTTTACTCTATTTGTTTCTGAGATGTAATCAATGTTATTCTAGTCAATAGATTGTTCTTTCAAGTGCACTATCTATCTATCAAGATGTTGTAATCGAAGTACATTGCAAATGTATCTAAATCAACTAAATAGAGTAATTGTCCAACTTGACGAATTACCGAGTTTTTTACTAGTCCAATTTTCGTGATATGCTTGTGGATTTATTAAGAACAGTTGCAGATATCATGGCGACCCGTGACATTATCAAGAACGGCATGTTTCTTTTGATAGTACTACTCGACAGCGAGCTCCAACATCGTCCGACTGTGAAATATCTCCATATTGTACATTTCATAGAGAATTTGATTAGTTTTACGCACAATATTCTAATTGTATTAATTACATGATATGGCAGAAAACATTTTATATTCTTATAGTTATAAGTAATACTATATAAAAGAATGTGTTAAATAGATTAATTGATATGATCGGTTATTATTAGATCATTCACGTACCTCTACGAATACTGGTTACAAAAAAAAGAAAAGGAAGAGGAAATAATCGATTATCATTCATATCATTATGAATAAGTTAACTTTTGCACTCAACAGTAGATATAAATAACATCTTTGTTTTCTGATTACGTAGGCGTAGAGTTTTTCTGTTGCGTACATTGATTCTTATATATCTCATATACGTATGTATAGAGACGAGCACAAACAGTTGGAGGGCGTTGAATAGAGAAAGGTCGTTTTGTTTGGTATCATCATTTTGATACCTCCTGCTGTTGTCGATTTTCTGCTACTGAAAGTAGAAGAATATGTAGAGATAGACAATGATTGTACCATGCCGTATGGATAGATTTTCTAATGGAAGAAAACGGCATTCTCTCTTATCGTCTTGTTGATTCACGAGAATAACTCCATACGCGTCGACGAACAGGATGATATTATTTATGCATTGTTTATGTTTATGCATGTCTGTGTATTGCTATTTTATCATTAGAACGGATTCTCTATATGAACAAACGAGAATCATCATCATCATCATCATTATCATCATCTCAGAAAGGAAAGAAGGAAAAAAAGGAGAAGATAGCTAAATGTATAATGTCTTCTTCCTAGTACGATCCTACACTGATGATTGGTTCTTGTCTTCCACACTTCTTTCTTTTTTTTTCTGCTACGATAACTCATATCGCGCATATGTGTGTATATACGGAGTATCCTCTAGTGATGAATTAGTCGATCTCTTATTTTCTCGTTTTCCAACCGTTTGTATACCCATATATCATTCATACAGCTAGACAAATAAGACGTTACATTGCGAATCCCAGAGTAAGCGTTTTAAGGTTTTAATTGATATTTTCTTCGGTTTCTTTTTTATTTTCATTCTATAAGAGTGACAAACGATTGAAATAATTTTTCTTACTTGGTAGTAGTAGTAGTAGTAGTAGTAGCAGTAGTGTCATTACATTTACCTTGTTCTGTTCTTGCATTTTCTCTCGTTCTATGTGACTTCTTAAAAGAAGAAAGAGAGAAAGAGGGAGAAAGCGAGTGATATAGTTTTGTTGACATATTTGAAGCACAAAAAAAACTTCTTTTTTTATATTTCATTTTGATTCAAGTATTTACATCGTCATCATCCATGTCATTGCATAAAGATACAACATTTACAAGTAAGCATTTCAAGATTATATTCTGCAAATTCAAAAGGCAAAGAATTGATTATGATATTGATTTTATTTTATAGAAATCTTTGTCGGTGGTTTACCTTATCACACAACAGATGATACATTACGAAAATTTTTTGAACGTTTTGGTGAAATCGAAGAAGCAGTTGTAAGTAGTTGATTTTTGTTTTAAAGTGACTTTATATGATTAATTTTGTATAATTTATCTAATAAAGGTTATTACTGACCGACAAACAGGCAAATCACGTGGCTATGGATTTGTAAGTTGAAAACAAAAAAAAAGGAAGATTGATTATTATTACGCGCATATATATATATATATGTATTCATGAGTGGATATGCTAGTTTCCTGTCTTGAAAGATAATTGTTCTGTTCTCTTATCACTGGCACGTCATCAATCAGTCAAGGAATCTAAGCATGTCTACTACTAATACGAATGTTCCGATGTTTTTTCAACTTTCTACGAACAGTTGTTTGATCATGAGCAAATCATGTAAAGATTTACTTGAGATTCCAATGTATACGCATATATATATATATATATGATTAATAGGAAAAGGTCAAAAGAAACCTTTCAAGATTATTTCGCTATTATTTTTTCACACCAATTAACTTGAATTTTTAAAGGTGACCATGAATACACAAGAAGCCGCAAATTTAGCAACAAAAGAAGCCAATCCTGTTATCGATGGTCGAAAAGCAAATGTAAATTTAGCATATCTTGGCGCTAAACCACGTGTTATACCATCACCAGCGGGTAAGCTAAGATTTATCTACATGATATGACTGCTCTTTACTTTATCCATATTATTTTTCAATACCTATGTTTACAAAAAATACATATAATTATTAAACAATAATAATAAATGACAATCCTTTCTCTCTCCTCATTAATTGTAGTACGAGCAGCATGAGAAAAAGAAGTTAAACGAGACAGTAAGTTAATGCTCTGGATGGCGCTGCCGTTTGTTTGACTGAGCACGTTATTTGTGCCAGTTACTTGATGTTTTTGTTTTAAATATTCTTTTTGTTTTTCTTAACCTAATACGTCAAATTATAATAAAATAACTAAAACTATATATATATATATATATATGTACGATAACAACCATACCCACACCATTGTGGCATGGAATCTTAATTTTTTTATTATTCTGTGTTTCGAGTGTTTGACGTTGATGTTGTTGTGGTGCTCACTCTCTGTCTCTCTGTGTGTGCGCTCGTGTGTTCGCTTTCGTGTGCGTGTGCCTTTTCTCAGTACTTTAATTTTCCATCTCTTAGTTATTTGATCACATAGTAGCAGTATGAATGAGACAAACAGGAACCAATACAATAATGATGATATAAATTTATGTTCTTTTCTTTTCGTTTTGAGACAATTGAAATTTGATTCCATATAAATAAATATTGAAATGTACAAGAGACGATAACGAATTCTAACAGCGTGTATGCGTGATTTGTATGCCTTTAGAAATTCACCTCGATTGTTGTTATTCTTGTTTCTTGTTTCTTGGTTGCAGTAATCGATTTTTGTTGATTGATTTTATTTTATTTTATTATCTTTCAACCAACATTACACATATTTTTGATGAATTAAAATTGATTTATTGATTCATAACTATTTTTCTTTCAATTATTATAGGTCTTATCCCACTTCATCTTGCCGGCGCTTATTCAGCAGGATTGCCTGCAACTTATGGGTGAGTTCATTTCAATTTTTATTCTCTCTCTCTCTCTCTCGCTCTCCTTCGCTCTAGTTTTACGTATAGACGAGTGAACTCCCTACAGAGAAATCAAATCAATCTTGAAGTTGAAGAAGAAAAAGAAAGAATGTTTATTTGAAAAACAGAACACTCAAGTAATCAAGCGAATTTGATGAAAGGCCACCCTCTGTGTATTGACGCACACATACGGTGCTCATGACGTGATTGCTCTCTCATGTTGAAATAGATTTCCTCTATCAAATTTAGATAGTTTAGATAAACAGAAAGAAAGAAGGAAGGAAAGAATAATTTTTTCTTCTGTCTAAATTCAATTCCGAGATAAACGATTAAACACATGTCATACGTCTGGATAATTTTTTCTTTTCTTTTCTTGGTTTTAGAATTCAACCGATTTATTATCAACAACCACCAACAACAACTTTATTAGCGACAAATGCAACACAACAAGCTCTAAGTACATTAATACCTAATCAAACAGCAAATGCATTGAATGGTGTACATACATCACAGAATCAATCCACAGGTGGACCATCCTATTATGAATTAACTTATGCTACAGCTCCGTTAACGTCGGCAGGAATTGAACAGCCATCATATATATATGCGACTACTTCTGGACAAACTTTTTCTTATGCGCAATTACCGGCTGGAGTTACTCAACAACAAGTAGGTCCAACTAATCTCAATGATGTTTACTCGAATCATACAACAAAATATATGATTGAGGATCATAGTGGATCTGTTGAGCGTGATCATCATCAACGTGCTGCTGCCGGATGGTGATAAACCTTACCAAAAAAAAATATGTGCAGGGAAAATGACGAAAAAAATTTATCTAGATCATCAATGCTGTGTTTCTTTTTTTTCTTTTCCTTTCTTTAACGTTCTTTTTTCTTTTTTTGTTTAATTTTTTTTTCATCGAAAAAAACGAAAAACCTAGCCGATCATTTTCTACTGTACAGTCAAAGATTTTCGCTTGTTGACAATAAATCAAGAAAGCGAGTCTTATCTTAAAACGAACATTTGAATTACAAGATAATAAATTGCAAATCAATTCATTCTTTTTTCCCGTTTATTGATGATAGACCTGACTGTGTGTGTGAACCGAAACCAGCATTCGGAGTGACAATTCGAGGTAGAGTGCAACGCTGCACTTTGTTTCAAGAATCCAAATGTACCAAAGTGCCAATCTAAAAAGATATGTAGAAAAACAAGAAATATTAATTTATGTTTTGCGCGTTGGGCTTATCGATTAAAATAAAATAGCTATGAAAAATATGAATGTAAATCATCAATACAACACAAGATTGAGAAAATAAAATTAGTCAGTAATAGGAATTCCCTGTACCCGTAAATCTTCATTGTGGCTCATCAATAAAATACGTACAATAGAGAAACTAAGGGGAAAAGGCCGATCTCACGAAATTCCATGTGGATCCTAGGAATTAAATGAAAATTTCGAGCATCCAAAAAAACTCATGGATCTGAAGAAAATCTTGAAAATTCAGGTAGTACAAAATTTACCTTTTGCCCCTTAATGGGAGTTTAGTTCCAATGAGAGGCTAACTTTTGATCTCATGGAAAAATTCGAAAAACAGACACTAGTCTAATGTAAAGTGCATATTGTGGAAAAAAACGAAAATAGGATTTTATGTAGAGAATTAGAATGTATCATTTTTTCACAAGTAGTTAGGTGTGAATGTGAATTATGACGGTTTCTTCTTTGTTGTAGGTATAAAATAATTCTCCAGATTGTTTGGATTCTGTAGGAAATAAAACGGACTATCAAGGTTTTGGGAGATTCTTTAAGACTACTGGATATCTCCAGATGTCAAATTTTTTCTCTTTTAATCAAATTTCACTAATCGATCAAAACTCATAAAATCTTACTTATGAATCAAAGAAAATTTTATCTTTGTTTTTAGTGATCGGCTCAGAAGATTCGTGCATTAACTTCATTGAGACTAACAATCAACAGTCTTCTCGAAATTTTCTGGGTTTTGACATTGGATTATTTGTACCTAGCAACGTTCAGTAACATGTAAAAATAGAAAATCTCTCACAGTTTTTCGATCTTAAGTTATTTCAGATCCATAACTGATTATTAAAAACTTAATCAGTGCACACAACCAGCTAGTTTTCTCAAGGTTCGATTGCAATCCTTAAGAGAAGTAGAAAAAAATAACGTGTGATATGGTCTCTAATTTCTTCTATATTTCATGTTTCTATGCAGTCTCTGTTAGAATTTATTAAAAATATTTCCATCTGCACAACGTCTGCTCAAAGATTCATATTAATGTATGACTTCGTTTATGTTCACAGGGCAAAAATAGCATCCAGCTGCTTTCGCTACACTCCGTCTCATTGCGAGAGAAAGAATAATTCCCTCCTCTTTTAAATAGTCAAGTACGAATAAAATCACCTCAGATGCATTCATATCATACCTAGAAATGAAATTGAATAAGTCTTATAAAATTTCGCCACCATCATTACTTACTACATAAATTATAAAAAATGAATTCTTCAAGAGAAATTAAGTTATACCGTAACATAAAACGCTCTCTTTTTAACAATGAAACAGAATTGCAAGATAAAATGATGCTCAACATTGTTTACTGTCCACTCAATAGTATACTAATAAAAAAAGAAAGGCTCGTGACAATCTATATAAAACGAGTTGAAGTACAAAAAATGGCACATGAGTACTCAAAACATGCTGAGATTTTCTAGAACCAAACAGATGCAATATTGATTTATGGGAGAATGCGCTAACAACAATCTATTCTAGTACTAATCCTGAGACAAAATATTAAGAAGACTTCCAATTCCACTGATCGATAAACTATCACAGGAGAATCATTCCGGCAAGGGTCAGGCAATGAATATACCAAATACCATATGTGTTTCAATAAACCCGACGAAATCTTTTGGGATTCCTGGACACGGGCCTACAGTCGGATCCGATGTTTGATTTTAACGGAATCTAACTCTAACGAATCACCCTTACGCTCTGATGGCTCAAAATTCTTATTTGATCCTGAATAAGAAAATGATTTTTTCCGTCGGAGCCGACAATAGATCCGTGTCCTGGGATCGTTCCTCGCGCTATGTCGATCGCACTCTGTTTGATCATGTGTAGGGATTCGAACATTTTTAATTAAGAAAGTACATTTTTTACGATTACAGAATAAATTGATATTATCTTTGAGTTTTTCGTGTACCTTCATATCGAGTGGAAATAAAACATTTTTTCACAGCGAATATATTTTTTGCCAATACAGTTTCTATTACCTTTTCACTCCTTCTATCACCGGTACAATGTCACGAACATATTCAAAGCATTAAAACTTCCATAACACTCCAGTTGACTTGCTCTTTTTGAAAAAAAAGAATGCCTGTAGTTGCACAATTGCATAATTTTATTTTAGGATTGATTGCTTAGGATGCTTATAAAACACAGAAATGATGAGAGGAATTTGCAGGCCTTAAGTCATTTTATTTATTCGCATCTTTTGCGTGCGTCTCGGTTGATTTTATTTCAGTGAAATTTCAGATGCCTACGAAAAGGAGGTATCGGGCAAAAGTAGAAACAGTTCCACCGCGGAAAAGATCGGCAAACAAACTCCACTGAAATTCGAAAACGAACGTACGAGTTGGTGTTATAGCAAATCACGAACTTACATTACAGGTATATAATATAATTTTGATGATTTGATGAGAAACAAATATCACAAAATTGTTTGCTTCCAATATCTCAAATGATAAATCGTATCCATGAGTACTTCGATAGAGATGAATACGAGTCATGAAATAATACTTTACACATCTGTCTTCTATTTGAGAATATCTATTGAAATGGAGCGTGGGTATCAGTGATTGAGTAAAATGATATATTCCTATCGAACACAAAGGTTTCTACATAATGAACGGTCGTATATGTGCATATTAGCCATCGATACTCTGATCTTCTAGTATATGCTATCCGAGTTTACAATGGTGCCCACTGATGATTCTAGAAAAGAATCATTGATGAGTTTTAATTGCGTTATTTTTAATCTTACTCTAACATATTCTTAGACACTGTCGTTCAGCCTATTATATTCATTTTATTTTATTTATTTAGTGATATTTATATTATATTATATTTATTGTATTTTATTTATATTACTTTATTTTTTAGGTCATTGTATTTTCTTTTATTTTTTAGATTACTGCATTTTATTCTATTTTATTTCACTTTTTAGAAGTTTAGCTCTTTTATTTTATGCATTTCATTTTATCGGATCGTTTTTAATTTTAATTTTATTGTATTTTATTTTAAGAAATAAAATATAAATGATCAACGTAACACTCGACCTTTTTCAACGGAAACGACCTTAAACGACATCGTTAACGCTCAGAGGAAAAACGGTCCGTAAACAGAGCTGACGGAAAACGGTGAAAAATAGCGATCGTTTTTCATTGTTTAGGGCGTTGATTACGGCGTTCCTTGACCGTTTCAGGTAGTTTTTATGCAAGACTTCCCTTAATTTCACAGGATGAGAGTAGCATTCAATTACTTTCGCTACACCCCCTTTCGTTGTAATAGAAATAATGACTCACAGATGCTTTAAATAGTCAAGTACGAATTAAAACACCGCAAATGCATTCTGACCCCATACAAAAACGAAATTAAATAAACCCTAGAAAATGCTAGAGAATGTGTTGTTTTTAATAGAAACTATATGCAATGTTGTCATTCAGAACCTTTTTTTTTAAAGAATATAATCAAATTGCAAGGTTGAATCCTGTGCAATACTTCTTGCTGTTCATTAAACAATATACTAATAGAAAAGGTGCGAAGTAGTCAATAACAGACGAGCTGATATAGTTGCATTCAACACTCATATAATACATCAACGAATAAAAAGTATCACATCCTGATATACAGACGTAAACCATACACAAATCTCAAATATCTGGAAGAATTTTTTAAGTTTATGCTTGTTTTCAACTCCAACGATACATGAGACCTCGAAACGAGTCGAATCATTCTAGAATCATACCCACACCTACAAGACTTCGAATACTTGCAATCTAGAAACTAAATTAATGTTCGTCACGTTGAATCGTTAGTTGCTTTTGAATTTCACTTATAATGCCTTCATATCGAATGGAAATAGAACTATTTTTCACAATGAATAAATAATTCTATGGACTTAGGTTTAGTTCGTTGAATTGTTCCTTGTGTCACCGTTTCATCATAAAATAAATACCAAAACAGTAAAAACTTCCATCCTAGTGTAAGTGCATTTTTTTTTGAAAAAAATAAAACTAAAAAGAACGCCTGCGATTGCACAATTGCTTATAGTTGGCATTAAAAATTGGTTATTTATAATTTTCACAATACTTGAGAATGATGAGAAGACCTTATAGGGCTTATGTAATATCATTCCTGCTTATGGCATGCATGCGTCTCATTTCAGTTGTTGTTTGTGCTTGATTATTTAAAAACGAGCACGAATCATTGTTGTTATTTCAGTCAAATTTGAGATGTCGACAAAAAAGAAGTATCATAGTCATCAATGCAAGGTACAACCAGTTCCGCCAAGAAAGAAAAACCCGAACAAACGCCACCGAAATTCAAAAAAGAAGGCACGAGTTGGCGTTATAACAAATCACGAGCTCGCATTGCAGGTATGCAATTTAATTTTGATGCTTGGAAGAAAACATTATCATAAAACTGTTAGCATTTAATATCACTCGAACATATTATGCAGCTTGTTTTATTCTATAGTCGAGTCAGATATTTTTAATTATTCTCTTTCTTCTTAGAATGGTGATTTTATAGTATCCAACCAAAAACAATTAAACATCAAATCTTTCGCACTTGCAGATGCCGAAACTATTCCAACAGACCGGATTCAACCTATCTTTTTGAAACGTATACGTTCATCAAAGAGTGTTGCTACTTCTGTTTATACAAATGAAGTTGATTTCGATGATGTAAGTGGTTCTTTGTTTCCTTTTCAATGAATTAGCTCTTTTGCTAGATTGTCAAGTTTCAAAATCTCTCAGCAATATCGAAGTCGTCAATTCCTACTATAATCACTGACAACTTTGCAAGACCAGCAAGAAGAATGGAAACGTTGAATCAATTACAAGGACAAGTATAGGTTTACAAAATGGTCATTATGAAAAGGCCGTCTATTTTCTCATTTTTTCATAGACGATATCTGCTAGTGGGAAAACCGGTATCAAAGTACATGATCATAATTCATCGAATGTTCGGGAGCAATGGCAGTCATATATCTCACGAGCCGGTGGACGTCAAGTAAGCTCTCACACAGTATCAATTATCCTGTAATGAGTCTATATAATTTCAAAGGTTGATACAGACTTGAGATCTGTAAAACAGTCGAATTTTCGACTTCCGATTCCAGTACGTATGCCATTATAATATCTAGTCTTCTGCCTACTTTCCCTCTGATACAGGAAGAAGATTACAAGAAGCCATCGAACTCTGTGGATTATGATCGTGATAAAGTTACACGACACAAGGAACAACGAAAGTAGGCTCAGACGAACTTTATTGGTTAATATCGTATCTCTTTTTTTCAGATATTTTTCCTGTCCTTGCTCTTCTTTCTGCTTTATTTGCAGTCTATTATGCATTCTCCTAGTGGCTGCAAGTGCGGCAAGTCTAATTGTCAGTTTGCTAGTTGCAGAGAATAAAATTTAAGGAACCAGTATTGCCAACATTAGACGTCCGACAAGCAGAAAATGGCTGAAGTTTTGTCGTTAAAAGGCAGAAAAAACGGAACGTTTGTGTACGGCATAAAACTATTTTAAGCGTGTTATCGTAATGTGATAATGAAAATGTTTTTACCTGAGACTTTCATCTGTATTGGACAGAATGAAGAAAAGTCACAATAAATAAACAAAGAAATAGAAATATTGAATACATTTTATTTTTATGGTTCTATTGGCTTTGTTAGTAATTTTCGATTAACATCAAAATATTCCATATGATTTTTCTATATTTACCTCGATAGTATACTGATTACAATTATTACATGTTATTTGAGATTGATCAAATTTATATTCTTTAAAAAATTGTTGATATTCATCAATTTAAGTCGTTCTCTCTTGAACATACCCATTTCTAATTTCGTTGTTTTTTGGTTTATATTCGTCTGATAATGTTTGCAATTTTTCAGCAATCATTAGTATGCCAGTATCAATCTCGTCACCAATCGTACTATCATCAGCATATTCACTCATTTTCCTGTTCTGTATAAGTTCTAGTATTTATATATAGATTATTTTATTTTCGTCGAAAAAATATACAAAGGTAAATACATATTGATTTGTACCTATGAATCAACCAAGTACTAGGCAATATAATAGAAAGGAAAACATAGGTAAAGAACTGGATTAAAACGGAAGCGCGAAGGGGTTATCGTTATAAAGGGATTAGGAGAAAACAAAAGCATCAGAAAATATTCATGAGAATTTCTTTAAAATTTTGAAACATAATCTATGAGAATGGAGTGTTGATTAAAAATATAAATGGCACAATACCTATAAAAAAAGCTTGTTAGGCTGACTAAAATACTTCAAAATAGTTCATCTGAAAAATCAACCGTGATTTCCAAAACCTATAATTAGGTCATTACCTATTTGCTTATGTCTGTTATGGAGTATTAATTGTTAGCTCGTATATTTAATAATGGTAGAGATTACACTGTAAAAAAAATCCGTATAGAATACTAAACCCAAAAAGGGTTGATGAAAGTGCAACGTATAATACTGTAGTGATAAGTGTATCCAACGTATGATTGGTTCGAGAGTTTTTAACATTTAATTTGATTCATTTAATAAACCAAAGGTTCATGCGAAGTCTATTCTGTCGTTTTGAAACATTTGGATTGAAACCTATCTTGAGGGTGTGGGTGTGGTTGTGGTGATCACCGTGTTCTCAAAACAGGCAACGTTACTAAAATAATTAGAAAGTCTTCTTCGTAAGTTCTAAACTACTTTTCGTTTATTATGCATGCCTAATTTATTTGTCTGAATCACTATTTTTCTCTAATATTAACATGGTAATGCAATTAGTGCTAGTTTCAGCTTTACGCTACAAAGTTCGGGCTGCTTTAAAAAAAGCTTTTGTTCTTCAATTACAAAATTTTCGACCAATTTTCGTAGACCCGTCTTCAACCGCTGAATACAAGCTTGAATGTTAAAGTTCGATGACTCATAGTTTGTCGACCATGAAATTGCTATAAAGTCAATAATAAAAGTTTGATAAAAATCAAATATATTCCTAGCTTACCATGCAAGATGATAAACGAAATCAATGCGTTGTATCAAGATGAGAAAACTTTCTAGTTTAAATTCAAGTAGATGAGTCAGAGAGCGGCTCTTTACAGCACAGATTTCCATGGAAATAGTGTTTTTTTACTTTGTTGAAAATGATGTGCTTATCTCGCTCATAATACTGTTTCGCTTTTCTTTTCATAAGCTTCCTTTGAACGAAAATGAGCGAGAAAGTAAGATGAGGCTTTCAACGCATAGATATACTTCACTCACGATTTATTATATTAAAAAAGCTAACGCTAAAAAATCAAGTTGATGGATGTCAAAAATTCCAGAAAATACTTGAGATTATTGATGCAACAAAATTCTGCAAAAGCTAAGATTCAGAATGCACTATCTCTACGAGAAAGAGCTGAGCGAGTCCACAGGCGAGTGTTACTTGTAATCATATAAATATTTCACTTTTCAAGTGAACTTCGTATTGTGTGGATGAAAAATGACCGATTTCATTTAGAACATTTGATAATATCATTATTTCTACTTCAATATTGATAATGTTTTGCAAAAATATACAACATCATAATATATTTTACGTGAGAATTTTACTGATTTCTAAAGCAAAATATCTATGTTGTTAAGACTACTGAACTATAACGTTTCCGATGGAATCCATTTGATACTACTCTACTTCCCTAGATAGGCTGAAATTGATTGTTCATATGTGATATTTAACCTTAGTTTATCATCTTTATTGCTCAACGTCCTTCATCCTTCTTTCTGTGTTACTGTGTGTATTGTGAACAATACCATTACAACAACGGAACAATTAATGATATTGTTTTATATCTTTGAAAACTATAGATACAGAGTATTATTCCTAAAGACCTCGAAGGAAGGAAATATATGCATCTGATAAATCGTATCAATATTTACTCTGAGAGCAGGTAATCTAAGTTGATCACTGCTTTAATCGGATCCATTCAGGAAAAACTGGAATCATGACCTAAGATATTCTACGTTCGTTTTTCTTTCATTCTTGATTCTTGAAAGTATTTTTCTAAGCTGAAATCTTCAGTACATTCGGCGACGAGCGTGGAAGTATCTCTATACTTTTTTTCTGTATGAAAGCATTTTATTTTCTTGCTTTTCTTGCTTATTATTGAAGTAAGTAACTAGGATGAGAATATATTCAAAACAAATTTTGGATTTCGTTTCTCTTTTAGAACTTATTAAATTTATTTTATTACTCCGATAATGAACAAATCTTTTAAGATCATCGAAACATTAGATATATTTTATATAAAATTATGATGAAGGATTTCCTATAATCAAACGATACCAATAAAGAAATATCTATTAACTATTTTTAAACTTTCTATCATAATCAACAAATAACAGAGGCTCCACTTTAATCGGTAAATATACACTACTACTCATCTGAGTCAACAGGTAGAGACTACCTTTCTTTCAATCTTCATGGAACTCAGGAACTTAACTCAGTTGATAGAATGATACGTTGTAATGATTTATTGATGGTAGTGAAAATTTTTCTTGTTTTCCGATTCCAATATAAGGGCTAATAGAATAGAAGATACTTTTCCATCAGTTTTTTTTTATCTAGAATTTACAGTTAATCGATTCGATCTTCATACGCTTCATCTTACTTTCGTAGTGACGAAATCACTTATTAATTTAATAGACAAAGAATTCATCTTTTTCTATCAATTGATATAAAAGAAAAATAGATAAGGTTTCACTTTTATGGCGATGCGGTACTTCTGTCTTCGAAATTTTTCTTTGAATTTGCTCACACCCACACCCTCAAGAATTTCTGGAAATGGATAAAAAACCTTTTAACGGGTCGTAATCAATCATTATAAGATCGACTTTTTTCTCAACAAACTGACGCTGAATTACAACGTCATATTCATTCGAACAGTGCACTTAAACAACAAAAATTACATTCAACAACAACTAAAGAACATAAACGGGTTGTCAAAGAAATAATCCTAAAAATCAAATATGAATTAGTACATATAAAAATAAAGTATCTCGACCACCGCTGTCTACTGTTGATTTTTATTTCAGTGATATTATTGGTGATAAAACATCGATTGTTGAAAATGACTGTGTAAAACAAGCTCCGATAGGAATTGAAAATTTGAACAGGCGATTTCTTTTTCCTCTCAAATAAATTCAATTCTATCATGATTTTCATATGTAGATAATATCAGGTATTACTGAACTTCTATCCCGTTTCAAATCCTTAGAAACAAATTATATGAATAAAGAAGAATTTTGACGTGATGTTGACGATTTAAAATATATGCAACAAGAAAGTATTATCTAAGTTAAATACAAATTTGCTAGCATCCTTATTTGATGAAGAACATGGTGCATGATAGAAAAAGAAAAACACAAAAATTAGAGGATCGATTTCGTATGTTATACAATCAACTATGTTTTATTCTTACGTTTGGTTTTGTTTAGAAGAACTCTATGATCATGTATACGTACTTGATAAGAACTTATTTATTTTCCTCTGGTCAAATATTTATATATATTTCAGTAACTTGATCGCATAAATGAATTTATTTCACATATTCATTCCTTAAATCAAACGAATAGTTGACTATAAATATATTTTGGTTTATTCCAATGAATTCCACTTATTATGATGATCCAACAAAAGATCATCCAGGACCAGCTGCTTGTCAAGGTATGTAGTTTTTATCTTTTAAATGATAGGTTGATCTGTTTTTTTTTAATTCTAGGAAGCATTATTCAAATTTATTGCACCAGAATTATGTGTGCTTGTAATTTTTTTATTTAATAGACTCATTTTTACTTCAGGCGACGAATTAAGTTACTACAAAACAAATTCCTGGCCCAGCACAGACAATGGCTGCGAAGTCACTAGCAATTACTCACATGGCAATGCTTTTGAGGTGAAATTCATTCTGTCTTTTCTATCTAGACCAGTAGTAGTAGTAGTAGTAGTAGTAAAGATTGTGTAATGCTTATTAAATATTATTCTGTCTTACATAAGCCAAGTTATCTTTCGTTCCGTTGAAGGAATGCTTATATTTTATTTAGTTCTATAACATGCAACAGATTTGATTCAAAATCGATGTGCTAAAGTAGCTATGACATATTAATATGCTAATCAAATGTTAGAAAGTTGATTAGTTGTCTACAATGTGAATAGTGGACGTTCAGATGCTGGAGAAGAAAATGTGAATTCTAATTCTTTTAATTCAGACTAATATATCCAAGGGGCGAAAAATGCATTCGGGCATTCCCCGCCATTTACAGTCATTCTTAATCATTCGCAACTATTCCAATATATTCCTAGCTATTCTAAACTTTTCTCAAATAGGGATGGACCATTTTTCTAAATGAAACTTTGAAGTAGTGTCAATTAACATGAAACTTAAGATGTTTTTTCTTCTTAACACTTCATACTTGTAATTTATTGTTAATTGAGGATATTGAACTTAATTTTAAATTAATGTAGATGGTCCACCCCTACTCTCATGTAGTGTTATTTTTCATAAATTACTATATCTGTCTTTAGAACCTTGTCATTTTCTAAAGGTCATAGGTTTACATTAAAGTCGATTTACATAATGTTAAACTTAGTTAACGCATATTCATAAGTAGTGGTATTAATCATTAAAAATCATTAGATTTTCATTGATTGAAAACTACGCATTATCCGAATTCAAGTACATAAAAAATATGGATGAAATGGAAAAAATCTCATTTGAGATGTGGAGTACCTTTACTCTAAACGTACAGCAGGAATTTGATCTCCAGGTCCCGAAAAACATTTTGTTTTTCTTGAGCAAAGTGATTCTATCTTTTTGATGATCAATTACTTAAGTCATTGAAAGTCTTGCTCTCATCTAACCTTGGCAACCAGCGATATCCGTGATCCCGAATTATTCTAAATCATCCCCATTTGTACGCATTGAATGACTACTTTTTCTATAATATTCAAGTAACTTTCAAGGATAAGAAAAATCATATAACGCAGACTAGTTACATAAATGGTTTACATTCAATTTGATTTCAATAGTATTTAGTGAATTAGAAAAAACAAAAGATACATTTAGTAGTAGTAGTAGTAGTAGTATTTAAATAGTCAGCTAGCTGAGCGACCAGTGGAATCCTTTACTATCTGTTTTCCTTTATGCTTGGAATCAATTTTCTAAACACTTTGTCTATTTCGCTCTTTACAATAACTAATATATCTATGTATGCATATTAAATCGAAAAAGTACATTTTGGTGAAAGTATACTGACTATAGTGAATTTCCCAAGGTGAACCCTACGGATTCCAAAGAACTTTCGTTCATGATACTGCACAATGTTATAGTAACAACATCAAAAGACTTTGAATGCATAGCACTTTCTTGAAAAATTATGCTCATTTTTCAGATTTTCTTTTTTTCTGAGTTACCAGAAAGTGAAATAATTGGATTTTGCTCAAAATTTTTGTTAATACATAGACCGACTGAACACTAAGACACGATGAAAATTTTAGCAATAACAAATGTGTTTTTCAAAGTATACTCACTTTTTGAAGGAATATATTTAAAAGAACATATTTATTATTGCTAAAAGTTTCATAGTGTTTTAGTGTCTAGTCTGTCTATTTATTAAAAAATTTTCGAATCAAAATTTGTTTATTTCACTTTCTGATAACTTTAAAAAAAGAAAAATATTTGAAAAATGCGTGTTCCTTTTGAAGAAAGCACTACGCACTGAAAATAGTGCAATGTTTTCCCTAGAGAGCATCGTGCAGTATCCATGGACAAAAATTCATTGGAATCTATGGTGGTGGTTAGCTTGGGAGGCTCCATCGTGAACTGATTCTATTAAAATATTATTTTATCAACATAATGATGGATCTCATTGTTAGCAAATTACTTGTAATTATGAATATGACAATTGTTCATGTGTGTCAGTAACAACATAATGTGATGAAAATGAATAAAGTCTGATACATATTGGAAAACGATTATACTATTTTCAACAGGCTTCCTGTAGTCAGAGCACTTCGACAATAACGATAATCATGTTTCTAATGAATTTTAAAGTTTTTTCATAGTTTGAACTACTTCAAGAGACTAATTTCTAGCCATTCGAATGGCTCGGAATGAACTTTTTTCCCTTGAATATATCACTTGTGGAAGGTCAATGTTGAGGTGCTAAATTACCCGATACTGCAAATGTTGCTATTCAAATTGGTGGGACACATACACAAGTTCAAGAACGATATGCAACTAAAAAACATGATTTCCATGAAAAAAAGTATTCGTATTATTTCTAAATGTTCATTGAATCAAGATATTAGGTATTGTATAGAGATATTGACGATGATATTCAAATGACTGAATTTGCTTTACAAAAGAACGTTCCTTTGGAACTTGCTGACCTAGGTTTACTTGCTACAGTTGGACCACGAACAATACATGTTTATGATAAACTATGTGTAGTCGTTCTTTCAATCGATAGTGGGGAAATTCGTGATAGTAATAAAATCATGCTTATGAGAGTATTAAAATATACAACATGCTATTTACTTTCAGTGGCATTATATAAACAAGTAACTTTGATTCGTATTCCGCATCTTTCCAAACAGCTATTTCGAGAATTTATTCTAATAAAACATCGGTTATTCAAACATTACAATCTTATCATCCAATAATTCATGTGCAAGTATATATATATACACTTGAATTAATATACGAAATTTTTTATTTGATCATTTAGTTTAATCAACTCATTAACTATCATGATCTACGACCGGAATATATCCGTGTCATTATTGTTGAATGGTCAATAAAATTCTCAATTTCCATAGCACGCATTATTTCAGCAAATATTCAATGTAGTTTACTCAGTGCTCGACGTTGTGAAAATTTCTACGATTATAGTCAACAAGTTGATTGATTTAACATCAGAAAAATTCAAATGACATTTTTTTCATCGGGGCACATGATTTATTTTTCTGGCGATTATAAAAAACCATGTTGTGGGAAAATCGCATTATTGTTCCTTCTTGTGAATGAAATATTGAGTCTGTTGACTTCATACATCAGTGCACATCAACAGTCGCGTTTTTTGTCACATAAACGTTTCTCTATTCAACATAATCTCTCACAATTTATCTTGATTTATAAATGAAAGTGTTGCTCTGGCAAGTCGATGTTGCGATCAACCTGTATATTTTCTTCATCGCAACATGTATTTTGATCCGTAGAGATTATTTACCGCTTGGTAAGTTTGTAATAAGCAATATTTCTAGATAAGATGTGAGGTATGATATTATTCTCAATCTGACACATCACTTGCTTGCATTCTATCTTCTAATATGAAAAGAGTAGAGAAAAAAATGATTTCGTTCTCTGCATCTCCACGAATAAACTTACTTATTACAACTTACCAAGAGGTAAATGATCTTTGCTGATCAAATACATGCTGCGATGACGAAATCGTGCGGGTTGATGGTAACATCGATCTGCCAGAGCAACATTTTTCGATTAAATAAAAAGAAATAAAGACAGTAGATAGCGTTAAATATTATGATACACGATTTTCTATTCGTTTGGTCGAAGAATGTAACTATAAATAGGAATTTCCCTTTACGAGTAGAAATGAATTGTTTAATCGATTAAAAACGAACTGCTTAAAATGTCAATCAAAAAATAGTATTCATTTTTCTTCTTAGCTAACAAAAAGAAAACAACGGTTTATTTTTGAAATAATTGAGAATAGACCATTCATAAAAGTAATAGAATTACATGTGTTTTAAACTGCTCGACTCAGTACATTTGCAATCAAACAATATTCTGCTTATCCGTGTGAGAAGAAAAAGGCTGTAGAACATTTAAAATTTATAAAGCATTCATGATAGAAACAATCTCGACATTCATACACAGCTGTTTATTTCTTTTTTTACAGAGACAATGATCTATATTTTTATTGAAGATGATCCCACTAATATTCGTAACTTTTCATCAAATTTTAGGGTAAAATGTTGCTCTAATTGGACATTATGTAGTGCATGTGATCGACATATTTTTTTTAATGATGATTAATATAAAGCGAGAAAACATTCTAATTTAAGATCAACTGAGACTAGTTCAATACGAATACTTAAATAATCTGATTTATAATTGATCACAAATTTGTTAATTCTGAAGTCAAAAAATAATAATCATCATATATTATGACAGCGTCTGTTCGATCGATCTTATAGATCGTATGCGGTCAAGCGTATATTTCTATTAACGACATATCAATCATTACAGGGCAAATTTCTTCGTTCTAGAATCCTTTTTAATTAAAATTATTTGACATCAAGTTACTTTTAAAGAAGTATTTATTTTGATTTAACAAATTTCGGGAATTACGAAATAAATTTTATGATTCCATTTTTTAAACTAAAATTTTTTTTTCTAAATTATATTCCAATTTCGAAATATTCATTTGATAACTGATGATTAATGACAATAAATTATAATTACTTTTTTAAAATAAACTTCATAATCGATTTAGAATGATTAATTATGTACAATTGTCTTTACTCGATTGGTATTGAGCGCCCTCTTCCCTTCGAAAGAGGCAACGTGTGATCGATCTTTTTTACTCAATGGTGTGAAGTGTTTGTACAAGCTAGCTTGCAAGAAAGAAGAGAAGAAAAAAAGAAGACGCTGTGTAGCAGCTCATTCAGAGTAGTGAACACGATTTTTGAAAATGTCATCGAACTATATGATATTTCGATATGTTTTTTCTATAATAAACATCTGTTTTTTTGTAAGTTTCAATTAGCTTTTCTTGTATTCTTTTTTTTGCAAAATTCTTTTTAAATAAGGCATTGGGATTAGCAATAGTTATATTTAGTTGGATGTTACATTTAAAATCATCTGATTATGGTCCTCTAATGGGAAATGAGTGGTTTACTGCGCCTGTTGTATTAATTATATCAGGTATATATTTTCTTTATATTTGTTCAATTTTAATTGTTTTCAATTTTTAGCAAAATGTTCTATGGTACTTGGTCTTATCGGATGTATTGGTGCTTGGTTTGAAAAAAAGCCGTTACTTTTTCTTGTAATTAAAATGATACATCGCCTTTTCGAAATAATTTTTTTTTATTAGTATATTATAGCAATGATTATAGTCTTTGCTGGGTTATTAATTGGTGTTGTATTGGTTATCGCTTTGAATGAACAAGTAAGCTCGAATTTTTTATTTTGTATTTTGACGGTTTTTTGTTGTTTTCTAGATGGTAATATCTGCTAGAAAGGATTTATTAGATAGTATACGACAAAAGCCACAAGAAGAAAATAATTTTCGTAAAAAAATGGATGCAATTCAACGCAGAGTAAAAATTCAAAAATATGCTGAAATTTTTATTTAGTTTAACAAAACTTTTTTCAGCTTGATTGTTGTGGTCTTGATGAATACCGTGATTGGTTTAATCCTGATATTCAGTCTGGAGAGGCTTATGTTCCTGATTCATGTTGTATTGAAGAAAAATTTAATTGTGGAAAACAAATTAGCGTTAATGAAACTTATGGAATAATTAACACAGATGTAAATTTAAACGAAATAAGATTTTTGAATATTGAATGTTTTTATTACTCTATTCATTATTATTTTAGGGTTGTTTTAATATGATTCAAGTCGAAATTAATCGAAATTTAATGATTGTTGGTATTCTCTCTTTTGTTCTTGTTTTTGTTGAAGTAAGTTTATTATTAGAAGGAAAAAAAATTAACGAGTGCGTTTAATTGCTTGAGAGAGCGAAATAAAATATTGATCATTAATGAACTCTGTTGATCAGATATCTAACATTGATGGGAGGAATGTTCATATTACTGATCGTTATCGGATGTCTCTGCTTAGTATAAGGTAAAATGAATGATCAGTCGAATGAACATGGTAAATCTAATCGATTTATATTGACACCTCATCTGTCTATACATATATTTTGATAGGTTTTGTATTGTCATGCATGATTGTTGTGACAAGCATATTAAACAAAAGACAAGCAGATAAAATTGATTTAGCAATCCATTAACTGTCGACTGCTCTTTTGTTTAATGTGTAAGATACACATTACATAGTAATATAAAAATAATTGAAACATCTCCCCGTCGTTTCGCTCGAAGGAACAGATTTTTTAAAGACAATGATAAAAGGTTAACTTTCAAAGTTTCCTTCTTTTTTCATACGAATTACGTAAGCAGCCATTATTATCAAATCAGAAAAATAGATAGCAAGCATTTAATAGATAAGGTTCAGTTTTCGTCTGCGAGAAGAAATCATAATGAACTTATACCATACGTTTGTTTGTACTATCACTGGCATCGCGCTGTGCTGACAAGAACATGTGTTCGTGCTTAGAACTTTCTGTTTCAACAATGATCAATCATGGAGATTTTTTTCTTCTATCTAGCTCAGACAAAAAAAAACAAGAAGAAAATAGTTTCTAAATGAACCTGCAGTGCTATCTGTCATGTAAATAAACTGCACAGTTGTGCCCTATTCGAATTCTTTAGCTAGTAGAGATGACGTAAAATCGTCAACACTAAATGTAACAGAGTCAATTTAATTTTATTAGTTTGAATACAGTTTAAAATGTTCATTCGCCTGAATGCAATGCATCATCGCAGAACTCTGTTAAAGGAAAAAGAATGGCCGGTATTATGCTTACAGTTTCAATCGTTATGTCAACCGTATGAAGCTACAATGAATTCATTCGAAGGAATTGAAGCGGACATATTTCTTAATGTTGATCAGCATGCCCGCGACAAAGGACTGTACGCAAGAATGCGATAGCTATTGTAATAATTGAACAAAGTGATAATACAAATTTGCATAGAGCATTAACGGTTAGGTTTTTCTGCTAAATCAGTTGAACATATGTACAGTGGTACTATAGTTAGTAGAGACACAAAAAAAACTCAAGATTGAAATAGATCACCGTTGTGTATATGGGTATGATGGAAAAAGAGAGAAAGAAAAAATATCGAAAACAAAATTGAGGGCTGAAAATGTGGATGTAACAGTAAGGGTGATGTTTTCGATATTTTCCCATCCATTCTGTATATGACTCCACTGCTGTATAATTAAGAGCGTTTAGTTTAGCCTAGAAGATGTCTATGAATAGTCTCATTCGCGACGAAGCCACACATAGTAAAGTCAGTAGAAACATACTCATTTTAAGGGTCATTTAAATTATTAATAAGACAATGCGTTTTTTATTATTTTTCTATTCTATTATTTTTATTAAACACAAAAATAATCATTGGTTTTTATTTCAAGGGTTTTTGTATTATTGCTGCTCTTGGTCTACTCTGTTATCTTCGTCAACGTGATAGTTACATATGAAATATATCTGTTGTAATTAGTTAAGCTTATTTCGCTCAGATACACTTTGTTTATTAAAATACGATCTCATAATTAATATGCCTAACAGCCAATGCGACATTGAATTTTTTGTGTTTTTTTTTCTTTCTCCTATTTGGTAGCGTTCTTCCTTTTGTTTTATTTTTATTTTTAGTGTCTGTTTAACAGTGTATCCATGATGTTTTGATCTCTTTTTTTTCTTTTTTTGGTTTTGAAATGAGTTTTGTATAATTGAATTTGAAGTAAAAATTTAGCTAAAAGGCAGCATAACAATAAATGCACTAATGTAATTTGCAGATGGTTTAAAAATTAAACAATGGGAATAAAGCGTTTTATCATTCTGATTGTTATCAGCCATATAGTGCTATTTTATTCAATATTTGATGTTTACTTTACATCACCAATTAATCATGGCATGCCTGTACATCGGTCAACTCGATCGCCACATGCAAAACGTCTTGTAATTTTTGTTGCTGATGGTCTTCGAGCTGATAAATTGTTTCAACATATGAATAATACACCATATCTTCATTCTATTATTCAGAATAGAACAAGTTTGAGTGGTATTTCACATACACGTGTACCAACTGAATCTCGTCCGGGTCATGTAGCAATTATTTCTGGTTTCTATGAAGACGTGTCTGCTGTGACACGTGGATGGAAAGAAAATCCAGGTGAGAACTAATCATCTACTCTTAAATGTTACATAATATATTGAATAGTATGCCTTAATCTTTTTGTTCTTTTGAGTCAATATTCATGATTCAACAATAAGTAAAAAACGGAATAATATCCCAAAGAAATCATTCGAAGTAGAGCCTCTAGATTATGATGTTTAGTCGTCTCTGTGAGGTAATGATTGTTATATAGCATTTTTCATTCAATCTCAAAACTGATTGGAGAACAACATAGAATATTGGTGGTGATTCAAGAGAATATTGAAGTTTTCTATCTTTTTTTATTAGAATCATAGTTCGATTTATTATTCTATTGATAATATAATTTCACTTATATCATCAGTAATCTTATATAAGAGATGTTTGTCGTAACAATAGAAAATAAAAGTTTCTTACCTGGATATTATTCAAAATTAAAATATTTTGAGTTTCATTGTTGTCATAGTATATCTTTGAAATGAACCCAATTTAAATGTTTTACTTGCGAATAAGAAAAATTCATATACTTTTTGTACATGTTCATTCTAAATGTTTTCAGACGGAACTCATATACATTTTAATCAACTTCATATTCAACCCTAATTCATCTATGAATCAAATTCAATTATCATAATAATTAAATTTGAGGGTATAAAATTCTTATCTACCGTGACACAGCTTGCATACACATATTAGCTGACTCCTTAAACAGCAAGATAAGACGATAGACTGGTGCTATTTCGTATGTCTTTTATATTAATGAATTGGTATATAGGGGTACTAGACTTTGAAATAACCGAATTAAGAAAAACAACTAGGGTTATAATATTTATCGAACCAGATTCAATTTGATAAATCGATAAAAATGAAAGATCATTGAGGCACAAGGATCTATTTATATTCTTTAGCCGATTTAATATCGCTTTCATTCAACTGATATTCATATGACTATTTCTAGTTGAATTCGATTCGGTATTTAATCGAAGTACATATACATTTGGTTTTGGTAGTCCTGATATTGTTCCAATGTTTAAACGTGGTCAATCTTATGAACATTTCTATATTGAATGTTATCATTCGAATAATGAAGAATTCGGCAATGATCGTGCACATGAATTAGACCTTTGGGTTGAAAGACAGTTCGAAAAATTCCTATTAAATAACACACTAACAGCCGAATTAAATAAAGATAAAATAATTTTCTTTTTCCATTTACTTGGTATCGATACCAATGGCCATTCACATAAACCATGGTCAGATGTTTATATGAAGAATATTCATATTGTCGATGGCATTGTGCAAAGACTTGAGAATTTAATTGAAAACTATTATAAATATGACAGAAAAACTACTTATATATTTACATCGGATCATGGTAAGCATAGATAAAATCAATTTATTGAAAAAAGAAATTGTTCTTGTTCGACATAGGTATGACCGATTGGGGTTCACATGGTGCTGGTGATGACACAGAAACATTAACACCAATAATTGCTTGGGGATCAGGTATTCCTTCATCACAACATGGCAATGTTCATATTGAACAAGCAGATATATGTCCCTTGATGTCTTATTTTCTCGGGCTTGATTATTCAACAAATTCAGTTGGCCGTTTACCAATTAATTATCTAGTGCCAGTCGATGAAGCTATTTTACAAGCTTACATTCAAAATGCTCGACAGTTATTGGAACAAGTTCATAAACAACATGATATTTTAAAGAAACGTTTACTATTCGTTAAACCATTTGAATTGAACGAAGAAAAATTCTTTGAACGTATGCAAACAGGCGAAGGCTATATGAATATGTATCAAATTCGAGATGATATTACAGGTAAAAATAGAGTCATGTTCGAGAATTTCAGGATCATAAAAATTCTTATTTATTTTTTTTTGGTTGTTCAATAGATTTTATGCGTCGAATTGCTTTAGCTAGTCATTATTATCATACATACCGACGATTTTTACTGAGTATACTGATTATTATGGGTTTTTTTACATCGATTTCGACGATTTTATATCAATTAAATCCAATAAAACCACAACGATCATCAATAGCGTTGTTTTGTAAAATTCTATCGATTTTAACTTTCATTCTGTTATTAGTTGAACAATCACCTTGGACACACTTGTTATATCCAGCACTTGTTTGCATACATACATGGCTTTCAGGGGATTTTGCTATTTATTGGATAAGACAAAATGTTTTTAATCAGATAAAATCTTTTCCATTTTGGTTGAACTCACTAATGGTTGGACTCTTTTTACAAGCATATATTTTACCATTCTTTTATCGTTGGACGATGTCAATAGGTGTTTTCCTACTATGTATTGATGCTAGTCGACGGTGGCAAGGGTAAATAATAATAATAGTAATAGAAAACTGATTAAGATAAGGGAAAATGTCTAATTTGAGCATAAAAAAGGGACGAAATCGGCGAAGTCATTTATGCAGGACATGTAAATAAAAGCTCAGCAATGGAGCAATAGAGAGTTATCCTTTGAATAGGAAAGACTAAGTTATTTTAATTAGTAGCGCCACCATAAAATATTGTTAAGGTTTCGATATTGATATTTGCTTAAAATGTATAGTTTAAAGCGCGTTTCGTCTGATCATCTTCACACATTTCAATACTGTAAACCAGCCAAGTCGTATACATGTGTAAATGAATTCTATTGCATTATTTTTTCTTTCAAAAATTTTCCAGCAAACAATCTGACCGACATTCATGTGAAGTTCTTGAACTTTCAGGACTAAAAAATCGCATTTCACTACTTTTTGCGGAGAGATTTTCCTTCAAGTTGACTGTCGTTAATTCATATACGAGTATTAGTCTTTTGAAAATATTTGATTAGCACAGAAAATCACAATGCAAGCGTCATATTTTCAAAATTGAACATGAATCTAAAAATGTTTGAATAAATTGACTTTTCATCAGGGTTCGCGCCTGTTCTTTTTTTATTCGGAAGTTTTCAAATAAAACAAATATTACCTTAACTAATAAGCCTGAATGAAGTAAATACGAAAAAAGCATGAACAGAAACAAATTTCTGAATTTCCTTCGAAAGATTTCATTGAAAACTAGTTTCAGCTTTATGGGGTTCTTTGAGTGATAGAGTTCTAGAAGATTTTTGTTTTATCTTTAGATCTTTACTTCATGATCGTCGTCGATTAGCCTATGGAATTTTACTTTTAATTATTCTCATTTTTCCATTTCTACCAACAGTTGGTACAATAAAAACCACATTATCATGGTGTACTCTATTAACTGGTATGATAACATTAACGTTGCATTATCTTTATTTCAAATTTGAATCTCATCAATTGTATATATATTCTATTCAACGTACTTGTTTAATAGTTGCTATGACGGATAATTACTTTGTACATCATTTATCAATTCGTTCTCCATTAATTCATTTAGCGAGTTGGATTATTTTAATAATTTCATGTTTTCTGCCATTTTTATCATCATCAAAATATCGTTTAAAACGATTGATTATTATTCTAACATCAATTTTAACGATTTACATTCTTCTTTCAACACAATATGAATCATTGTTTGTTCTAATTCTTTGTTTATTAATGTTAACATGGATAATAACTTATGAAGAACAAAAAGAAAATATTCAATTATTTACATTTCAATCATTACTATTTATTCTTCTCGCTTTTTTTGGTACAGGTAATTTTGCATCAATAAATTCATTTGATCCATCGAATGTTTATTGCTTTCTGACAATATTCAATCCATTTTTAATGAGTTGTATTATTTTAATTAAATGTATATTACCGATACTTATTGTTACTTGTGCAACAGCATATGTTATTAAAAATCCTGATATGATTAAATATTTTCGTTTATATACATTAATTATCTGTGATTTATTAGCACTTGAACTTTTTTTCTTTATCAAAACTGAAGGTAGTTGGTTACAAATAGGTGAAAGTATAAGTCGTTATGTTATACTTATGGCAATGATTGTTATTCTATCAGGATTTCATTTTCTTGCAAGTTTATTATTACAAAAAGAGTTCAAATGTACTCGTGTAAAACATATTCCAAAATAAACTGTGATGGGTAGTTTCTTGTTTTGTTCTTTGTGATAGAAAAAATGAAATAAATAAATTTGATCGACTGTCTTTTTCTTTATTGTTGCTTAATGGGATTCTATGAAAATCACACACGTGAACTGCTTTTATAGTGACTGTAAATCTTTTCATCATTAAAATTTAATGTAATATTAAGTGAATTTTGGAAGAGCATATGAAATATGTTTCGTGAATCAAAGATAAATCATACTCGTGTTTTATCATGCTTCATTTAATCCGGCAGAGTGAGTACTATTAGGAACTTTTTAAACAATAATTAATGTATTCGAACGAATATATTATTCTTTTCTATTTAAAACACTTTACTCCATGTGAAGACAAAGGTAGAGATTTTATTTCGGTAATGATCGTTTTTAAATAACTAATAGGAAGTAGTAGAACAAAACAGTGTATTCTGGAATCGCATACTGTAAAACTATCAGTAGCAGGCTTCGCATTGAACCATGATTTTGCGTCTGTGAACTTAACTTGCGTGTCCATAAGAATGTCTGAAGTTGAGAGCATCAAATTTATTCGCATAAACTATAAATCTGGTGTATCGGACAAAATTACACTGTGAGTGATTTAGAATAAATTATTTCGGATAAGTATCTTATTGAGTTTTGGTTGAAGAAAATGCATTCTTAAATAACCTCTGATTAAAGATTCTACGATATTTCTTTAGTAGCATCAATCAGAACAGAACACATTCTTGTACTAGTACAAGAATTGTTTTGCAAAATGAAACAAACTTCAATGAAATTTAAGATGGCGACAGAGACTAATAAGATATACAACAATCGACAAGAGTATTATCCATGTAAGTGTCTATGAATTCATATTTTACAAATATAAACTACTGGCTTTAATGGTTCGTAGTTCTATAATTAATCAAAGTCTAGTCTAGTAAACATTATTTTGTTGAATCACACACTTCCTTATGCATGTCGTATATTCACTATTTTGATTAGGTTAAAGTAAATCACTATTTTGACTACTTACGTATACAATGACATGCTAACTTCATGACACACATATGTATTAAATCTTGGATATAAATTTCGTTTAATTATATCTTTTCGTAACATTGAAACTATCTTCAATAGAATTCGATGATAAAAGATTCATTAAAAGTAATCGATTTTTATTAAATGACGCTAAAATTTTCAAAAATATTCTAATATAATCATTAACAATGTTAAATAAAAATATGATTGAATGAAAAATTATTTATGATCCAAAGCCAAATTTTGAATTTATCTGTTCATAATATTTATATCATTTTAATGGAAGAGAAAAGCGACCTATAAAACTCGAACTGATTCACTCAAAAGATAATCTCTTTCGTCGAGTACCTGTCTAATTCAAGTTCGAATATAAATGGAGAAAAGAAAAAGTTAAACTAAAACTAAATCTATTCCTAGATTTACTTTTAGTTTAACTTTCCGATATATGCGATACATCGGCTGGCCAACGTCTCATATGGAGGTGTGGCATTAAAAAATTATGTCGATTTTTTTAAACAGAAAGCCATGTTTTTACTGTAATGTATCTATATATACGGATACATATATGCCACTGATCATTTTTCAGGTGCGGCCAGTGGCGACTCAGCCCAGCCCTCAAGGATATCGCGAGCATTCAAAAATTGTGGGCGTGCAGGCAGCCTATAAAATTGTACTTCAGGTACAGTGTTGCCAGATCTTCCGAATTTTTGAGGATTTTCGACTTGGATATCTGGCAACACTGGTTGAAACGTTAAATTTCAAACAAGAATGCATATTAATATATAAAGTACATTTTCTAAAAGCTCGCTAGGGGGCTGAGTTCACCCTGGCTCCGTCACTGGGTGTGGCAATTGCCACCAATTGCCTCGTGGTGGCCCGGCAATGATGAAACATATAAATACATATATACCCTTCACCCGCAATCACATTTGAAGTATCCCGGGTACCCCCCCCCTGCGCCCNACCATGCAGTTGGATGTCTATTTATATTCGAATTCGAACTACCCAGGTTGATCAAAACGGACTCGTTTACGGTCTGTTTGTCGACGGTAAACGATGTCAAAACGGTATCTTTACGGCAGTAAATAGGCCGTATTTGCCCGCAATACCTGGCGCAGTAATACGGCACCGTAAACGGGACTGAATTTTCATGGTTTACGGCTGTTTGTGCTCCGTACTCTCATGATAATACCGTCGGTATTACTGCGCCAGATATTACAGCGAAATTTCGCCCGTAAAATAGTCGTAAAGTAACCGTCAATGGCCGTATACGGACCGTACTGTTCGACCTGGGTAGGCATATCATGGGAATCCCATAGGATTTCGTCGGTTTTTTTTTGAAACACATATGGTATTCGGTATATTCACGGTCTGACTCTTGTCGGAATCCGATAGGATCCTACTGTCAGAATGATTCTCCTGGGTAAGTTTGAATCTTATTTCTTCTTTTATATAAAAAGAAAAAAAAACTAAAATAAAATAGGTTCATCAATTATGAATTATAAACAAAAGACATTTAAATTATCAACAATTTTATGCTACACTGTATGATATCGAATTACGAATATTTCCACGTCAGATTCCATATTTGTACTAAAAAAAAGACTACTCTTGTAATTTGGCATTATTATAATTAATCAGCTTGTTATAGTTTAACAAATCTATATTCTTTACTTTATCTTGTGAAAAAGACTGTAATAGAAAAGAGAAATGAGGAAAATACTCAAAACGGAGACGACAATTATAAAACAGTACAGAACAAGACACAGAGAAAAAATAAAGAAACCCTTAATATAATAAACTTCTTCAATTCATCTGTAATTCTGAGTTCGTAGTCTGTCTATTTTTATTCTTCGTTAGTCAACATAATATGACATAATCGCATTTTTTTCTATCTCACATTAAAAAATATTCTTGTTTTTGTTTTTGTTATTGTTTCTTTTTACGGCTAATATTTAAATTTTCTACTACATGTTGCTTGCAATGAGTATATCTACGCCTTTACATAGTAATATGTCGTTATTTCAACAATTAAAACCCATACTACATATTGTGACCATCGGGATACTATCTATTATTGGTTTGGGCTGTTGGAACATTATTAAACAGTTTTATATTTTATGTATTTATACGGCATAACAATTTATATCAATCACCAACGAATATATTTATTTGTGGTTTAGTATTAGCAGATCTTATTGGATCTTTCTTTGCAATACTATTCCCAACTATTGCACCTTTAAACTGCAGATTAACATACAACCTTAGTTTAATAATAAGAAAAACTCCTTAACTTCTTTTATTTAAGATGGATTTTCGAGTATTTTGGTTGTGTAATAGAAGCTATTGTAACTTATTTTGGTGGTTGTTCAAATATGTATATGTTATGTTTAAATTCTATTGACAGGTAATAGAAAATTGTTCATGATTTCAGTCAAAAATAAAATTATTATCAATTATATTTTTCAGATATTATGTTGTGACTAGATCATTTACAGCAAAAAAACCATAACAATTAAACAAGCATATCTAACAATTGGATGTGCTTATCTGGTATCTTTACTTTGTACACAAATACCAGTGAATGGGTGGTCTTCTTATGAGTGTGAGAATACTATTAATATTTTACTCATTTATTAAATACACTGAAATAAATTTTAGGGCGTTGGAGCATCTTGTAGTATTAAATGGGAAGGTCTATCATTGAGCATAACACGTTATAACATAGTTATTCTTATATTTGTATATCTGATACCGGTTACCATTATGATCACAATAAATTTAAATTCTTATTTTGTAGTAAGTAAATTCTTCATGGCTAGGAAAAGAGCAAAATAAAATAATTTTTAGATTCTTAAACGTCGACGTCGTGCTAGTATTAATTTAAATGCACCTCATACTCTACGTCAATATTTAATTGAACGTCGTATTACATTTACTGTTATTTTGATAATTGGTAATAAAAGTCAATTTGAAAAATAAACAAAACTATCAATTATATATTTCATTTGATTTTTTTAAGCCGACTTTTTTATTGGTTGAACTACATATGCAGCAGCAGCGTTCGTTAGGGCTTTTGGAACCATACCATCATTGTTTGCTAAGACAAGTGGCATGTAGGTTTTTCATTTCTTAATCTAGAATATGTTTCTTACTTTATTATTTAGATGGAATCCTTTGATCTATGTAGCACACAATAGAAATATTCGGCATTATCTTCGATTCTGTACGAGTCCTCATTTAAGACGGGGTAATTTTTTCTTTTCATCGCATTATAAAATAAATCTATAGACGTTTATAGACAGAACTTCTGATCCGACACGATTTTTAACATATCCATTGATTACATTTCAATTACCATTAGTATCAACACCAAATTCTCGTTGAAATTAGTTTTCATGAATAGTTATCTCTGTTTCTCTTTATATTTCGTAATAAAAATGACATGAACAAATACAATTGTCTGTGCTAGTCTTATTTAAAACAATTTCACGAATTCATCAAATGAAATTTTGGCATCACCATCTTTATCTAACGATTGAAGCAAGGCATCTATTTCACTTTTTTTAAAGCGTTTTCCCATTTTAGCCATGATACTTTCAAGTTCTCCAGCTTGAATATAACCTGAGTTATCTTGATCAAATTGACGAAAGGCAGCTCGTAATTCTTGTTCAGAATGTTTCTTAAAAAACGATTCGCTCATTACACGACAAAATTCCTCAAATCCAATTTGACCTTTTCAAAAAACAAATTATGAATAATCACTTTTCATATCAAATTCTTCTTCTATACATACCACTTTTGTCTGTGTCCATTGCTACAACTAACGTTTTTAATTGGCTATCATTTAATTTAATATTTAACGCCTTCAGCACATTTCCTAATTCCTTTTCAGATATTTGACCAGATTTATCTGTGAATAGATGAGAAAAGAATAGTTTCTTTAGGTAAACTATTGTCTATTCTATTTCAATACCTGAATCGAAAATATTGAAAGCGTCTTGCAATTCTTGACGCTGAGCAGCTGTAAGCGAGGTTGCCATTTATAGAAATCGACTGCAGAGTTATATTTCAAAAAGAGAAAAAAATCAACTCTTCAAATATGACATACGCAATACAGAGGTAAAGAAAAGAAAAAAACTCAGTCACTATGGATTTATAAGTATGCCTTAATTATTGACAGCAGTATTGTATTTCTTGTCGCCAAAAAAATATTTAAGTGTGAGTGTGGCAATATATTTACACTTGAGTGACGGTGAGAAAAATTCTCTTTTTTTCCATTAAAAGTAATATTTACTTTTAACACTCCGAGCCTTTATTATTTCAGTAAAAAAATAAAAGTGTATGAATATATTACAAAAAAAGAATAAATGTATATATTATCATACGCACATGTTGTCGTCATGAAGACTGTGCACGTTAATATGCGATTTAAAAAAATCTAGGCTCCATTACGTTAAATTTTTATTGTTGTTGAAAACAGTACAAGTTGTAAACCTTCACGGTTCATAATTGAAGATGGAGAATGAGATGATATCTGTCTATTCAGACGCTGTTTACACACTGACATATGACAACGTACACCTATTGATTTGATTTTCTTTCATTTTTTACGATGGAATAGCAGAAAAATATTTTTAATTTTTAATAATAATAGTTCACTTTAACATTGTTGCTAGTTTTAAATCGCAAAGCGTCAAATGACAGACATTGAAGATCGAAATGTCTCTTAAAAAGCTCACTAATTAATTAAATAGAAGAACGACAACGAATGTTCTTGTTGTGTCAAGGTGCATCCCATGTCAAAAAATTACAAGACTCACGAGATAGTGGAGCCTGGAAGAAGAGCATGCTAAATCCGAAGGAATTTCTTTTGATACAAAATAAATGTTCACGTCTCATTACATGAATGCGTGCTTTTTCTCAGGGTGTTTTTGTTTCACTCAATGGTGGTCAATTTGCCATAAATCTCAGACTAGACTTCATGGAAAAGTTTTTAGGTATAAAAGTCATTTCTTTTGTAATAAAATAGCATATAAATATAGTTCTTTTGAGCTATCCAATTTTCCAAGAGTCGTTTGTTTTATGTTATGATAGTTTCGAAGTGCATATCTAGTCCCTTTTTCTGAAATACAATGGAACTCAAAAAAAAAAACATTTATATTCAATATCATACGGACGGTAGAAAATTCAACGATACAATAATTTTTCACATCTATAAATTAATATCGAGATGATATATTATTGAATGAATAGACTGACAAAAATTGTTAGAATTCTTCTTATATTATTTTTCCTTATATGAAAAACAGATTTCAGTAAATGAATTAAACGAGTCAAACCGAATTGAAATAAATTCGTTTGCCTTAATTCTCTCATATATATCCGAGATATCGTGACGTGAAAAATTAAAGAATTAATTTCGACCATTACCACTATCACTGGTTCATCAGAAATATATTTTTGATTCAAATGTTCTCTTTTAGTATTTACTGAGTAAACATTCATATATTACATAGTAATCATTAAAAAAATACAAGCACAATATATAATCACCTGATGTTTTCTTCCATCCTTTGTTTTGAACGATATTTTACAAAGAGCAAAAATGTCGTATCTCACGGCTTGGCATGTACTACTATAAATTGTAATATCTAGGTTTTTAAATATAATTCTAATCAATTCGTTGAATGCATTCTCAATATACAAATGTTGTAAATCTTTAAATATTGTCGAATATATATAAATGTAGGATCATTCAATCTTCCAGTATCTATCACAAGTACGCCATGAACATCTTTCTACATGCATTCCTTCGCACTGACACGTATGAAATAGCAATTGAATGGTTCATTAGTTTCTGATTCTAAATGAAGAATGAAAGTGGCATTTTTATGAGTTAACACTTGAAAAGTTGTCTCAACATTCTCTGCAGCAATACTTTATACATTTGAAAAATGTTAATTATCTTCAAAAAAATAGTTGGTATCCTTTTTTAGACGAGTAGATGATCTCAGAGACTTTCTCTTAGTTGTATGACTGTTATAACAAATAAAAGTAAGGCAACATGACATAGGTAGATTTAGAACACACGATTTCTCAGAAAACCAATAGAACACACATCACCGCCGTCAGTTGGTCTTTTCCCTATTCGACTCGATTGATAGCTGTACAAATTGTCATTGATTTGAACCCGTTTCTAATTTGACGACTGATTCAAAGAGAAAGCAAGTCAAGTAAGCATTAATGCTTGTGATACATGTGCAATTAGCGTCAAACAGTAAAGAACCGCCATGGCTAATGATCATTCCTTTAAAAGTCTATAGTGATTTTATACATTTTATTGTACGATTATGTGATATATGAACACTTTCTCAATATAAGACTATTGGCAAATAATAAAAACAAGTCATCAGAACAGAAGGATTTTATTACTTTTCACAGGATCGCAGTTCAGGATTATATTTATGAAGAATGTCTTATTAAATCTTTTCAGATGTTACCAAGCTTGATTAGAATCTATTAAAAGCACGAATTTACACCCTTTATTGTGTACTACACAAATTTTAATCTCCAGATTTATCTTCTACATAAAAGAACTGCCAAACAAGCACACATTCGATAGACATCATTGCGTGTATGTTGTCGCTTCCGTCGTCATGTTAAATCAGTACACGCAAATGTTCATCGTATCTTCTTTTTCCTTTTGATTCTCAAAACAACGATCTGTCCACCCATTTCCGTCATTATTTTTTTCCTTCTCTTCAATGTCGGTCAGCATTAGGACAAAACTCATTAAAAAAAAAAAGGAATGGAATAGAAAGAGACAAGTGGAAAAATGCATCGATGATAAATAATTGCTCTGGGGGTGCGTCTGTCTATATATTTTCTTGTATTGAATAAAAACAAACGTTTTTTTTTATCTATGTCAGTCAAGTATTTTCGAAAAATCGGCCAGATGTCTATCTATCTTTTAACTCGTATATCAATCAATTGTAATTTCAAAGACCCTGAATGCAGGGATGAAAGCTTTTATTTTTCACATATGATACGGTCGATCAATCAATATCGAGTGAGAAAGAGAGAGCGACAATTCAAACATCTGATGAGCTCATTATTATTTTTTTCTCGTTCTCATATTTGAACATATGTATTTTTTTCTTTCGTGATAAAAGATAGAGAGAGAGAGAGAGAGGGAGAAAAGACAATGGAAGCGATTCTCTCTTCTGATAATTGTTCAATTGCATTATGATTCACTGCGAGTCGATTCGCACATTTTTGATCAGACAGAGGACAACACTAATTTTCGTATTCTAATCATCCTTTATTTATTGATTATCTTGATTAAATTGTGAACATTTTCTTTCGTATATATAATAAAAGTGATGTTTCTAGAAATAATGTATCATTCTATATTGAATTCAACGTAAGTAAAAGTTATTCCATCGTCAATATTTAACATACGGATAGATTTAACAATTAAATTAAACATATCCATCTGTTTAAATACATATAGGCAATAATTAAATCGGATTATTTTTAGATTTAATGAAGAAAATCGACGGTTTCCAAAAGACCGATTCATTTCGGTATGATCGTAACAGTTCTGCTTCAACTATTTCATTGTCATCCTCGTCGGGTTATGGTTCACGTTTGAGTTTATCTCATGCTGCTCCTTCATCATCATCATCATCATCATCATCGTCTAGTCGTCGTATTAGTATTACAAAATATATTAAAGAGAAATTATCACGACACAAAAGTTTAGCATCACTTGTCCTATCATCATCAAGAACAGAAATGAACAATCCAAATACAGATATCTATGATCATGTATGGAATTTAGAAGAACAAATTGAAAAAGTTCGTTTAACCATAAATAAACAACTACAATTCGATGCTCAATCTGTTATTTCAATGTCAGTTGATGCACCACAACCAAGATGTCATCGAATAGAGTAAGATGTTCTTACATATTTATTTTTGCACTTCCTTTAACCTTGTAATAAATTCATATTCACTTTCATCCATTCATCCATGTCGCGTGATGAATAGAATAATGTCTCAAATTACATACAGATGTATGTGTGTGTGTGCAGACATAGATGGCCTGGAGATTATTGTTGTTTCGTCTACACACACACACTTGAGCGCATAGCATCTAATTGCAATGATCCTATACGTATATGAAAGACAATAGAGTGTCAATGGTAACGATAATCAAATTTTCATTGTTAGCTATGGTTGATTAACGCACTAGTGAATATTTTATTGATGAATAGCTTTTCCTGAACATCTGTTCTGATAAGAAATTATCTTAAATTACAATATTAAACAAAATCATAAAAGATAATCAATTTTTTTCTATTCCTGTTGTTGATTATTTTTAGTGATCAAAATATACTATCGGCTGCAGCATGGTATCAAGAAGGTTTATCAGAGGATATTTGCGTAGAATATTTAAATTATGATGAGAAATCAATAGGATCATTTTTTATTCGATGCAATTATAACCATTCAGATTCTCCATATATTTTATCAATTAAAACTACTCGAACATCAATTGAACATTTTTTTATTCAACAAACATTCGATAATCATACGTATCGTATACAGGTTTGTTTAATCATAGATTCTTTTCTTTGATCTTATTTATCTATTATTACATAGGGTTCGTTAAAAACATTTGCTAATTTAAGTACACTTGTTATTCATCATACAGTAATGCGGGAAAATCTGCCTGTTGCACTTGTCTTGCCATTAACGTATTCGACATTAAATAGCCCACAGCACTCATCATCATTAGGTATTATTCGTTCCGTACGATTCTAGTCTATTTGTTTTGTGTACAGTGTGTATTTATTTATTAATAAAGAAAAAAACCAACAACAACCTACTGATAGAATGCAGAGCTGTTTTTTCTTCTCATTGCTTAACGCTTTATTCAATGAACGAATAGATCAGAAGAGTATACATTTAGTGTTAATTGTTCCTTTGGGAAAAGAAGAATGAACGATAGGTGTGTCATGCTGAGATTCATGTGAGAAGAAATTATTACATTATGATTTAAAGGAATTTCACATGATGAATCCAAGCAAAAATATTTAATTAGCTATATGACAGATTTTTTAAATAGAATTTTAACTTATTATCGCCAATCATGTGTATCGATATACAATTTGTTAAGGGATATCGAACATCTTTTTGATCGTGTTCGGCACGTGTTTAAACTTACTCGAATACTTTCAATAAAATGTTCAATTTTCGATGAATTCTAGATGTAACGTAGTGATAAATGTCTCAAGGTACATTTCAGTAATTTACGCGGGTAATCAGCCTCAAGAAAATATTTGTTTGAACTGTCACATTGTCTAGTAGTTATTTCGTCAATCATGACACAGACAAAAAAAAGAGTCACATGACTTATCAGTTTTGTGGTTATATTTATCTGTAAGACAATTTCAACAAAATATCTGACATTACTTATTCTTCGGTCATAGCAATTATTGCTTTGTGTGAAAGTGAGTTTATAGTCTTCAGTGATAATGAATACAACTTTAAAAATAAGCCTGTCATCTCAATAAGATGTTACAGAATTAAATGAAAAATATACCACTCGAATAGCTTACAAAGAATTTGCTTTTTACTCACCAATCTCGTTTTGATAGAGTAGTATAATTGCGATCCAATAAATATAATTGGATTAAAATGTCTTTCATTGTTAAATCTTATTCAATCTATGTTGCATGATCATGAATTACGATGAATTTCATACATATGCGTATTTTCTTCACAAATCGGAAATGAGGGAAGTGCTCCTGTAAGAACATCGACCAGTCCTGCTTCATTAGCATGAGGTAAATCAACTTTAGCGTAGAATTGTGCAATGCAAGCATTCAAAATCATATTATAGATAAATTTAAGTCGAATGTCAGTCATAGATGACTTAACTTCCTGTAAAGATATATTTGTATGTAATGTCATCATTCATCAAACGATCGGAATACATTAGTTGATAATAATTAGTTTTCATACGAAAGAATTGACATTCAATTTGACCTATACATTTCACATTTAAGGAAGATGAATATTATAACTTAACAGAATATTTCTGATTATAATCAGTAGAGAGGCGATTAAGAAATAAAATGAAGGTTAACTATAAAATTTGCTTCCTATTGTAAAGTAAAAAAATCAATTTTTTTGATTCTTGTCATCATTGATCTCAATTAATAAATAGTCTTTTCTAAACAGCTGGATGTACGCTCCTTTTTTAAATCCTATCTACCTTCACTAGTTATTTGATTTTCGAAAACGAAGAAAGAACTGGTGGATATATCTTTTCAAATGATGCGATAAGAAATACCTTGCATTCGATAGTTTTTTAAGTTGCAGCAAGAATTCGAGTGGAAAAATGGGTAACTCATGTGCGGTTTTTTAATGAATTTTTCAAATTAAATCGGCTAAAATCTCTTCATCATTGAGATTTTGAGAACATTGTCACGTTTTCTTCTAATAGATGTAACTCAATGCTCAATTATTTCTAACGATGAACATGCCTTCAACCATCAACTCCCTTTTATTTTTCTCAAAGTACGGAAGTAATGAGAAAACGAAATTTTTTTTTTGAACTTAAGCACGACGATGTTTGGCATATGCTGGATTTTTGAGTCATTGGAGCTTGAAATTGGGAAGCGATATGCACCTTGAAAACTGTTCTCAATGTTGTTGATTGACTACACAAAAATACAATGATAGTCTAATATGATCAAATTACTTTATTGTTCGTTGACAAAAGTTGTCACTAGACTAGGACAGATTTTTTACAACTGTCTGCTGATTAAACGCCTAAATTTCTTCCTGAAATCTTTCGACAAATAAAGAACCGCACTAGAAAATCAAATATCCAATTGAAAAAGTCGCTTTTACATTCAAACATAGTTTCATTGAAAAATGAAAGACTTTCAATCCGACACTAACAAATCACTGAATGATTTCGTGATGTTATGTTGCAACTAATTTGAAAATAAGATAAAAGACATAGCCCTTAATTCATTTGAAATCAAGTAAAACGTAATTGTTTTTATTATCAATACAGTTCATTCGAATGATTCAATCTTAAGTATATTGCTACTAATGAAGACTTAGATCTTCAGTAGCGATCGAAAAGGTATTTGCAAATTGCTCCAATCAAAACTCCCTATGAGAAAAAAACTAAATTTGAAATGCATAAACCATCTTTGTGGGGCTCTTCAATAAAACTCGAGCCCAATCGCGGTAGGTCGCTTAGACACTTGTTGCGTCCCAGCAAGCTATGTTTCATCAATTTCGATTACAAATTATCATAGCGACTCTTGGTGACTTGCGTATGATGCATTTCTATTTGTTTTCTGAATTTTTATGGTGCATTGAATGATTCACAGTAGTCCGTTTTAACATCGAACGATAATTCCGATTTTTCAAATAGTCTCGACGCATCATCCATCTTGAATTTGATTTTATACTGAAGTACATAGATGATGATAAGAAGTCGACACTAGACAAGCAACATTTAAATCTACACTTTTTTAAAGTGATACTATTGTAGTCTAGTCCGTGTAACTGACATGAATATTTTAAGCTACTCGTTTTTAAGTTGATTTAATTCACTAGTCTACTTGAACAAGTAGCGACAACAATGAGAAGCGATGATGTTTTTGAAGTGAAATCGAATCGCGACCAGATTATGCTATTCCAGGCCATTGTTTAATACAGTAGCGGTAAATTGCCATCGTACTAAAAAAACATAGATTGTTATATTTGATGTATGTAGAATTAGAAATGTTTGTCAATTGTTAAATTTACGAAAGTTATTTTTCTGATCGTTATTCACTCTTCATATTTTTAATCATAACAAGCACCTTGACACAAATAGGGAAATCAAAACATCGAACCCGAAGACTTCCATCGAGCCTAATAGTCTACATGAGAAGCTAATAAAAGTTTTGTCAGTATCTATAATCTTTCAAACTTGAAATCCAGAAGTTTTCTCTGTTTCATAATATTGATATTGAATGTACCGATTGTGGAAACAGTTTTTGGTTCAGTTTTCTTTTGCAATCAATACAATATCAACGAGCAAAATTCCTATCTATCTGATGGTCTTTACATGGTTTTATCGACATTTATTTTAGTGAGGTGCATGATTGCTATTGACGAAAGACGATATTACAACTGCAAACTTGCGTGTTGAGAATTATTCTTGTATATTCTATTGACGAAAAAACATGCACGATGGAACCTCATGTATTCTTATACGTGTTACCAAATTTTTATTTAGTTTAGTCATTTTCTCAAGCAAGTTTTTCAGTTCAATTCATACATCGCAGCGCTTGTCAGGGTTCCAGCGAAAAAATTATTTTCAAAGGACGTCCCCCTCGGAATTTGTCAGGACACTGCGATGTATGGACTTCAATTATAAAATTTCAAGGTTCCTAAAAAAACAAACTACGTTGTCATTTCTTCTTCGATCAGGGTATACGCTCATTACAAATAGAATTTCTTCTATTTGATCTATGCAGTACATAACTTAACTAGACAGGAAAGTGTTGTTGGGTGATGTTCATTAGAATCCTGATTAGTTCATAGCCGTGCACCTTTGTATGACTCGTCGTTCCTTGAACGATTCTTTTTATCGTACCAGTTCTGACACTCAACCGCTGAATTCTAAGGAAAGATTTGACCATTGAAAGTCTCATACTTTATGAGATATTTCTATGACTGATTTCCGTACTGTTTGTTTTTTAATTATAAAGCAAATGAAAATCATATCGAAAGTCAATTGCACTCTCGTGATCATAACATCAGAATTCACCATCAATTTGAAGTTGTCACACTTCAGCAGCCCAAAAGGTGAAGTTCGATATGAGTATCTCATTATAACTGACGTAACTAAATATTCATGTGTTTTATTTTCAAACTTGTACAACTTTTTTTATGTGATTGTTAAAAAAATAGATCTATTATTTTTTTAAACGAAAAAAAGATTTGACGTTCGTTCTTAATGTGATATCCGTTCTTCAATCTGCTTTCAAAAGAAAATAATGATGTGTAATTCATTTTTTTCATAGTATAAAGTTAATTAACTGCGTCAACAACTAATTATTGAAACTTGAATCTGAATCGCCGACTGGGTTTTTGATATTTTCTAGAATGTACTTGAAAATAATGTAGTAACACTTTCAATAACATGCTCAGTTTAAAATGAATTCAAGGTTCAAATTGTGCATGCACATTTCTTTGCATACGTTTCTGTAATTAATGCACATTAATGAGCTGAAAAGGACGTTTTTTTTTGTATTGTCACATTATCAAGCAATTATTTCATGAATGAATAGACAGGCAACCTTCTTCAAGAGAAAAAATTGATACATATGCTTATGAATTTTTACATAAACTTGTCCGCAAATAAAAAACATCCACAAAGTTGTTTGGCTAAAATTGAGTACTGAGAGTTTTTTACATCATCCTCATTGGCTACGAGCAATGTTTTCTTTGCAAAAGTATTTCTACAAGAATATTCGACAGTCATTTTTTTAGCTGTTTAAGAAAAATCAATTTTATCATAAAATTTTGTAATCAAATCACTCAAATTGAATATCGATTTTCGATGTCGATGACTTGGTATCTTCTGAAGATAAATTGCAATCACGCATCAATTACTACTGCACATACATCTATTGATAGTAATCAAACAGTTGACATTCGATTTAATACATGTATTCATATTGATTTCATACTCATGAAATTTGAGCATTACAGTTTTATTTCGTATTTATTCTTACGAAAAGAGAATAAAATCGATTAGGAAATCAAATAGATGATTTCATTACTAACAATGAAGTTAATGAAGTATCACATCAGAAGAAACGATATTTTGATTTTGATTTCTTATATATAATTATAGGACTAAAAGATTTTCGTTCATTAACAGATAAATATTGCTTTTGATTTTTATATAATACGTGCATAGAAAACAATAATCAATTAATTCTATTGGCTTTTATTGATATATGTGAAGAAACAGATCGATTTTCATCTCATGAAATATTCTCTTGTCATCCTTTTAAGATAAAAGTAAATATGAGCTTATTTGCATGATATAAGTTCTACATAACGTTCAATATCGGATCAAGAGATATGTTAAATCAATAATGATTTTGACGGTTTTACTTTAATAAACTTATTTTTTTCTATGTTATAAAATAAAGTGAAGAAAATGTCAGATCTTGTAATTATTTCGTTGGTATTAACGATAGCAAATCGAAATCCTTGACTATGATAAAATTAAGATGAGAAGGTCAAAGTAGGTCGTTTAACATAATATTTTTGTCGTTTTCTATTTGTGTGTGTGTAAATTTAGTCTTCTACCGAATGTTTTGCTTATACTTTAAATATTGAATAAAATGAATTTGAAAATACTTTAAAACAATAGTTGTATCATACCTCAATCAGCTTAATGGATGCCCACTGTGATTTTCAAATATGATGTCCATCCTATTAAAAGTTCATTGTATAAGTTATTCATTTTACGATTATATCCTACGAATACTTGCATCTACCATTTATTTATTTTTCTCATCTCGAGTCCGTAGAACAAGAAAAAGCGATCGATAAATCAGTCTTTAAATTGAGTTTATAATTATATAGAGCATTTCAGCGGATTCATTTTTATAATGATAAACTAATAGATTGATGTAATTTTTCAGACTTGAAATATCGCGCTCTCGTGCCAGTGTCTTTATCCATGTAAAATAGCTAAAATGAAATTTATGACATCCACTTATAACATGTCTCGCCTATTGTTAGGTGCTAAAACAACAGATTTAATGCAACTAATAAAAAATTATGAATAATCATGAAAAAAAGTAATTAGCCTATTCGACACTTGCAATGTTCGAATAATATGCGTGTTCTTACTAATATAAAAAGTATATAGCCTAGAATACGACGTTTAATTTTATAACACAGATTTTGATGCATACGTTTATCTGATATCGATTCTTTTATTCCGATAGATTTATGGTCATCAATGAGAGTAGATATATAGTAAAGATATTCATTATAAATGACGTCATAGACCCATGGTTCGTCCTATTTTACCTACAGTTTTTTAATCGATTGATAATTGAATTATAATGTTTGCATAAAAAAATAAATATATTATAAACGAATAATATGCTTGTTCTCAGAGTATTGATAGAATTTCTTTTATATCATAAATCAAAAGCCAGACATTTTTATCGTAATATTATTAAATCGTATTGAAATCGAATCCATACCTTTCTTTTTTATGCATAATATCGAACCTTTTTTTTTCCTATGAAAATAACCTTGTACTTTGTTGAATCTAAAGTTCAATTCATCGACGAAATCAAGCGAAAAAAGTGAAGTATCATCAACGACAACCTATTGTTCGTTAGTATAAATAAATTTCATCGTTCAATACTTCAAGTATTTACATGTACAATACGAAAATGGAATATTTCCTGATTTATTTAGTGACATGCAATTTTTCTTTTCTCTTTTTCTATGTTTAACCGGTCTCCTGATTCCATTGAGATGCCCATAAATAAATAAGATTCAATTTACTATTAAGTTGATGCGATTGGTTGACCGACTTCTGTCCTTAAACTGTGTATATGTTTCATCGTAATGATCCTTTCGACGTGCTCAAATCACGTATGTTGCGTGATGGCCTTCACGTCGTCCTACACTTTTTTCTCTCTCTTATATTCTCTCATTCTTTTTTTGCATACTTTTGTGCTCAGCTCCCTTCTTTTTTTACACCGTGATCTTGATTTTACCATTTTCTTTTCTTCGATTTCTTCCTTTCCCTGTTGCTCGCAGACATTATTTGATCACATAAAATAAACGAACATCACGATGGATAACTGGGCAATATCGAAAGATGATTTATATGGGCCACCACCAGCTTATTCCAGTAGGAACAATTATGAAAACTCTCCGCCAATACCACCACCATCATATTCACCATCAATATATGTTATACCTGTTAGAGATCTTCAGTATCAAGAACGATTATCTTGTCATGCGTCTATTATTTTACCGAAAATATTTACTCGATATTTACTTGGAACAGGACTTGTTCATATGGTTATTGGATTAGCAGCTATTGTTAGTGAGATTATATTAACTATTATGAATGAATCGTATTCATTTACAGGCCTTTGGTCAGGTGCATTAATTATTTTATTAGGAATCGATCTGATTCTGTTTATGAGCCGTTCAAATATGCGAATATGTTCGTTACAACGATTACAATTTGTACATATGGCAATGTGTTTAGTTTCGATCGTTGCATTGATTCTTACATCGATTAATCTCGCATCTGATTCGTGTTATAAACTATTTTTAGGTCCAGATCGATGTGAAAATTCATCGCTGTCCATTAAAATAGTTCTTGTTATATTATTTTCTTTTACGTTTGTACACATATGTATTACAACTGTATTGACATTTATTTATCTGAGCAAAGCCCATCGATTGGTGGTAACAAGAAATGACAGTACAAATGTCTAATGTATTCGTTTATTGTATTGTATTTTATTTTATTTTAAAATAGTTGTCTTTATTGTTCTCTTCTTTTATCATGCGAAACAGAGAAGAAGAAAAAAAAATATCAGATAAATAATTTTCCTTATTCAATACGCCTTGTGCACATGACATGTAATGAGTAAAATAAACAGACCGAGAAAATCGACTTCGCCCTTCTCATGCTTTTCTACTAGCGAATATTATTGTTTTTGTTTTTCTTCTGAATCGAACATAATCAGCTGAATAAGTCGTCGAAATAATATGTCTAACATCAGTATCTATGCAATAGCAACAATATTAGCTATTCATACAATTATCAATTGTCTTACTTCGACAGTTGGTCAATATGTATATCGATACTATTTAGAAATCTATCCGAATTCATCAAATTATACAGTAACAAATGCATATCATGCATTCTATGTTGTCGATGTCAATACAAATGAGACAAGTACGTGTTCACATAAAAATATATCTCGTGATGGCGATGCGCAGACATGGGCACAACAAAGTTCAGCCGAGTTATTCTTTTGGACGAGTTTAGTGAGTAGTTGTCCAGTTATTATTATGACTTATGTTCTCGGTTTATACACACCACAATTGGGAAAACGTGTTGTACTTTTAATACCAATGTTAGGCTCGACTATTCAACTTATTCTTTGGCTATTGATTATCTATTTTCGTCTATCCGAGCTTTGGTGGTATACAGCAGCATTTATAAATGGTCTTTCGGGTGCCGGAGGTGTTATCAGTAAGAGCATATTTTATTTTTGCGATGAACTGTTTGAAATCGTTTTCTTTGAAGTTTATTTAGCAAAATACATATTCTAAATATCTTGTTTTCTTCTATTTATTTATTTATTTAGGTTTAACTTTAACATTAATTATTACTGAAAATACACCTGAAAATGAACGTTCATCGCGTTTCGTACGATTTGGCGCCATGCAAACTGCAATAGCAGCAATAGCCACATTGACGATTGGTTATTATATAAGTTGGCGTGGATTTAATGATTTATATTGGATGGCTCTTACATTACAAATATTAGCAATCGTTATCGTCCTACGATTTCTTAAAGGACTTGATAATCATGTTGATGAACGAACACATCTCTTATCATCATCATCATCGAATGATGAAGTCACAGTAGTCGAACCAGTTAATTGGCGTAATTTTTTTAAAGTTTTCACAGTACTTCACTCCAATCAAAGATCAAAGAAAAAAAGAATCAGTTTATTCTTAACATTATTTGCCAATGGATTTTTTACATTAGGATCGGCATGTTTTGCACCATTATTATTCTATCTACTGAATGCACCTTTTTGTTGGACATCAAAAGATATTGGCAAATTTTCAGCATTAAACGCTCTTACTTCTGCATTTCTTAGTCTATTGGGTATGAATATATTAACCTATTTTGGAGTTATTGATGTAACGATATGCGCCATAAGCCATGTGTTTTTCTTTGCATCAGCATTATTGGTAGCTTTTGCAAGATATGATTGGCAACTATTTCTTAGTTTATTGCTGAATGCATTTTCGGGTTATCAAGGAACATTGACAACATCAATGATGTCGAAATGGTTGAGTAGCTATGAACAAAATAATGCATTTACACTTGTAACCGAAATAAATACGATAATAACAACATTTGGAACTGCATTTTTCAATTGGCTTTATGCACATACAGTTATCTATCAACCAAATCTTGTATTACTTATTGCAGCTGGTCTTAGTGTTATTCCTTTTATTTTAAATATGTAAATATTTAAAGAAAAAGAAAAATAGCTCATAATTATTCATATCTTTCTTTCAGATGTTTATTCATAGTAACTCGAAAAATGCCCGACGATGACGTACTTTCAACTGATAAAATAGAATCAGAACCGTTCCATTCAGAAAACAATACACTTCCACATGCTGATGATGCTGCCTATTTGATTATTCCGTCTCAATCATTGACTACTACAGTACAGACGCCATCAAGTGAAAGATATCAAAGTGATCCTACTTATGACAATCAAACGCAACATATAATGAATCCTACAAACAATGATTTGGGTATTCTGTGAAATGTTCTATTTCGCTTTTTATTTTATTTAACTTCTTAGTTTTTATATTTTTCATTGAATCGAATTTAGCAAAAGATTTGTTAAAAATTTGTAAAATAATTTCGAGCTTTTGAATAAAATCAAGCATTATTATACTGAAATCATGTTATTTATCGTTTGTGGATGTGAAACTTCGAATAAAGGATTCTACTGCTAGTGATCTATTCGAATGTATCGATTGATTATCAACAAAAATGGCTCTTCATCAAGGAGTTGATTTATTAGAAGCGATAGTCCAATGCATATAAAAGTGTTTAAGATGGAGGAACAAGGGGGGACAAGGCAGATTTTTGGGATTTTGAAAATCCCTAAATTGAAAAGCGTTTTCCCCCTCTGAATGACGCAGTTTCGACCTGAAATTCCATCATTCACGGTTTGGATTTTGGAATTTTCAAAATCCCGAAAACATCCCAAATCCGCCTTTTCCCCCTTGTGGAGGAATCTCAAACATCCATAAGAGTTAGGATATGTGCTCAATATCAATCTTACCGTTAGCAATATAGTAAGAAACTCAGCTTCTTTAAAATAACATTTACAAAAATATTGATACTGACGATATTAAACGATTTGAAAAAATCGTGTTCGATTAAATGTTAACTAGGATTTGACTATACCTACTCTTTTGGTGTAAAATATTTACTAGCATGAGTCACTCAGCTAGTTTGAACCATAAAATCTGGGTGCGTTATAATTAAAATTACTCGCCATATTTTGGGCTTTTGTTCATAAATTTTAAACGATAAGATTTTTATTCTAAATAAAAAAAAGAAAACCTCGCTAAGAAAACTGCAAGAAAGAAAAACAGATTTTCACTGTTTCAATACCTGACTAAAAATCAAATTAAATCTATTTTTCTTTTCTTCCTTTCTACGGTTCGTATACAGCGCGATTTCTTTTTGAATAACTCGCATGCTTTTTATATTTTCTTTCTTCCGATATACGAAGAAAAAACAAGAGAGAAAACGCATAATTACTCGATGATGACTAATGCAGCCGGCTTGCGTAAAATCTCAACATAACGCTGTTTATTTTTTATTTTGACAACAACAAGCATATACATTAATTCGAACCATATAATGAGTAATGTTAGTAATTATACGATCGCTTTAATACTATGTCTTCAGACAGCATCTAATTGTGTTATTTCAACTGTTGGACAATATATTTATGCATATTATTTACAAATCTATCCAACATCATCAAATACAACTCAAAATCTTACTAAAATAATAATTCCATCATACCATCGTTTAAAAGTTGTTAACAACGTATTGAAATCATGTCTAGATAATACAACTAGTAATTCTTCAAATGGTAACGCTCAATTATGGGCACAAGAACAATCAGCTGATTTATTTTTTCACATTAATTTATGGAATAGTTGTCCATTGATTATAATGACTTATATTCTTGGATTGTATACTCCAAAATTAGGTAGAAGGTTCGTTCTCATTATGCCGATGTTAGGAACGACTGGTCAATTAACTATATGGTTGTCAATTCTTTATTTTCATTTAGCTGATTATTGGTGGTATATAGCAAGTTTTATTATGAGTTTATCTGGATCAACTTATGTTTTAAGTAAATAAAAATAAATAAATTGCCATTTTCGTAAAAATAAAAAAAAACTTTATTTTTAGATTTTGTAATGAATTTGATAATAACAGATAATACAAAAGAAGATAATCGATCTTCTCGTTTTGTTTTCTATGAAGCGCTAACAACTACAGTATCTGCTGGAGTTACATGCGGTATTGGTTATTATATTAATTGGCGTGGTTTTGCAGATCTTTATTGGCTATCATTAGGCCTACAAATCCTTTCGATTATAATTGTTATTTTTTTTGTCAAAAATCCTTCTCATATAATCGATGAAAATACTTCTCTTTTATCGTCATCGATTCAAAATAACGGTGAAATTGAAATTAAAGAGTCGCGTTCTTTAAGAACGAAATGTAAAAATTATCTTTTTATTTTTAAAATATTCAGTTTCAAAAATCGTTCATACAGAAAACCAACTAGTCTTCTTCTAATTCTATTCGCTTACATTTTTTATCTATTAGCATATTCAACATACGCATCATTCCTTTGGTATTTACTTGATGCACCATTTTGTTGGTCATCTGAAAGCATTGGGAATTATATGGCATTATCGTCGATAGCTTGTGCTATTTTGAGTTTATTGGGAATGAAATTCTTTACTTATATCGGTGCTAATGATATGATGATCTGTTTGTTTAGTCATTTATGTTTCGCTCTATCATCGCTTTGGATTGCATTTGCCAAATATAATTGGCAATTGTACGCGGGATTATTAATAAGTCCGTATGCTGATTATCAAAATCCTTTAACGATATCGATGTTATCAAAATTATTAGAACCTCATGAACGTAATAATGCATTTACGCTAGTAGCTGAAGTAACTACGATAATAACAAGTTTTGGAGATTCGATTTTCAATTGGATTTACGAAGAAACAGTAGGAAATTTTCGAAATTTTACTTTATTGTTGGCTGTTGGATTTAGTATTATTTCTTTTATTTTAACGATGTAAGATATTTTTATTCACATGTGAAAGAATAGTATTGTTTTATTTGTTATTAGATGTCTAATTGGTGCTACACGACGAATGCCTAATGAGAATCGAGTTTCATTCGCTGAATCGAAGCCGCTTATTTTACCAAGTATTAATCATAATATAACGCATTCGGGGGATATTATTTGCCCATCATTGTTATATTCATCGACACTGTCACATCCATCAAATCAAAATAGTTCTCAAATCAACTCAATTGACAAGACGATCATAACAACAGACGATCTTGTAGTTCTTTGATTGTTTTTTTCTCGTGATTAAATGAAAAATATTATTAGTGAAATTCCGTATCGGATCAAATTATGAAAATCGCGTAGTCACATTGCTATAAATCGATGGTATATTTTTAGAGAGATTCAAACAAATTAAAGCCATAGCAAATCGAAAGATTAATACAATCGGCCTGAAATTTTATCACTTTGAAAAAGTCTTCATTGTACACTATACTACACGATTTCCTGTCTTCCCATGATAATATAGGCTTAGTCGGTTACACGAGCATTTTATTTATTATCTGGCTAACTTTCGATTAGTAAATCATTTTCTAAGTCTGTTCTATTCGAACTGCACGAGATCAATGATCAGCATCGATATCTCACATTCAAACAACTGTTCTAATCTCTCTATCATTACCGAGACATCTTCTCTTGTCTCAGTACGAACAAAAACAAAATTATTTTTTGCGTTGGGTCACTCAAGCCTGATTAGTAACTTCTAGTAGTGCAAGTTGCAAAAGCATCAAATTGAAGATCAAAAATTTTTTTTTCTACGTAATTCTCGTCTATGTCTTTTTGCATTATCATGAAAATTTTGAAACATAACCAACCAAGTAATAATCTTATACTTAGAAGAACTAATGAATAGATTTTTCAATTGCTTTATCTATAATGAATGCAAGTGACCGAAACAATAGTAAATCAAAAAATTGTTGTAAGCTATTTCAACGTTCATAATTCACTTCCTTCACATTAGAAGTGACTATTACAGTTTAAAAAAAGGTGATTGCATCATCTTGAGAAGTCTTTCTCGCTCGTTGGATTAAATACGACCCTTTGTTGTGAATAAAAGTAACTTATAATAGCCAGAATTTATTTTTGCCAATCAACAGTGATAGTTCTTCTTTAATCGGTGAATTTGAAATGGAGAGAAAGCTTCTGTGAAATATTTTTTGATTCTCTACCTATTCTAAAAGTTGAGTTTATATGTGCAATAAGGTTTATCGTTATTCACGCTTCGTTAGCTATGTGAAAACATAAAACACGCTTCAAGATGAAAGTTAACGTATCAATAATAGAAACAGTCGAATGTATGAAGCATGGTCCTGTAGTTTTTTGCTGTTTTTTATTTTTCAGAAATAACATCTGATCTGATGACAAATGTTAGTAGTTATATCATTGCGACTGTTCTTATTCTCCAAACTCTTTGTTCTTGTATTATGTTTACTCTTGGGCAGTATATTTATATATACTATTTATCAAAATATCCATTTCTACCGTATCCAATTCAAAATTCAACAACGGTTGCTGTTCGATCATATTTTCAAAAAATAAATAATAATTTCCCAGATAAATGTTCGCAGAGTGGTATTGTCTTAAATCGCGGTGCTCAATCATGGGCACAGCAACGATCCGCTGATCTATTCTTTTGGACTAATCTATCAAGTTGTTTTCCTATTATTATAATGACCTATATTCTTGGAATATACACTCCAAAATTAGGCAGACGATTTGTTCTTATAATTCCTATTATAGGAGCTGCTTGTCAATTAGCTATTTGGCTAGCAATTATTTATTTTCATCTACCAGAATATTGGTGGTATATAGCTGCATTTATCGTTGGTTTATCAGGTTCTGATAATATTCGAAGTATTTTCTATTTTGAATAATATTTGGAAGTATTTTTCTTTTATGTATTTAATTAGATTTCGTTCTCAATTTATTTATCACTGACAATACTGGTGAACATGAGCGTTCATCGCATTTTGTTGTTTTTGGTGCAATGTCAATGATAGTTTCAGCCGTAGGAACATTTATTATTGGTTATTACATAGCATGGAATGGTTTCACTGATTTGTATTGGATAGCATTAATATTACAATTAGTTTCAATTTTTGTTGTTATATTCTGTTTGAAGCCTGATAAACATCATTATAAAAGTCTATTAAGTGATTCAAATACGTTACTGAATTCAACCGATATACAAATATCTAAACTACATTATATTTCTTGTTTAGATTTTTTTAAATTGCTTGGATTTAAAACACATTCCCGTAAAAAATCAATTAGTCTTTTACTAATACTTGCTGCATATGCATCCTATTCATTTATTTGTACAACTTTTATTGTAATTCTTCTATATCTTCTCAATGCTCCGTTTTGTTGGACATCAAAACATATTGGAAATTATTCAGCAGTAGCATTAATTTCATTTGGTACTTTTAGTGTATTAGGAATGAAAATTTTAACAAAGATCGGCGCTTGTGATATAGTTATTTGCATAATTAGCCATATATTCTTTTGTCTGGCGTCATTTTGGCTTGCCTTTGCCCAATATGATTGGCAAATGTATATTGGATTAATACTTACGTCATTTTCGGGTTATCAAAATTTATTAACATTGTCAATGATATCAAAATGGTTAGAACCACATGAACGAACCAATGTATTTACATTAGTAACAGAAATCAATACAATTATGAAAGTAGTCGGCTATTGTTTCTTCAATTGGGTTTATGCACGGACTGTAGTTAATTATAAAAATTTTACATTTTTACTTGCGTCATTTTTGAGTATGATTCCACTTATGTTGAATATGTAAGTTCATATATTTGAAAAGAAATTATTGATTGATTTTGGTTCTTAGAATTTTATGGTTTGTTTCAAGAAAAATGCCAAATGAAGATAATGATCGATGTGAGGAACTCGATTTAACATCAACGGATATTTCAGTGTCTGGCGGTTGGACAACACAAATTCCTGTTACCAATTCAATTTTAATTCCACAACAATTATCGAATCTTTCACGTACGAATTCATTATCATCCAATGATTACGAAATGAAAAATATTGATCATACTGATACCCTTTAATCATTCTTTTACACAGGAGCATATTCTTTGTGTGATAAAGCTAATATTTGGTGATTACTATGGTATTTTTTTCTTTATGTCAAAAGAAATATTTACGTATCAAATTTCACTAAGCAACTGAAATATTAGTTTCGTCGGTTTTCTGTTACGATGTGTTTGGGAACATGTAATTCAAATCGTTTAGTAATCTTCATCATATATGTCGCATACATCTGCCAATGAAATATAACTGTATTATGAATGAAAAGCACCGTCTAAGTAGTATACTCTACTTTTCATAAAATCATATTTGTTTGCTATTCATTTTCAATTAAATATATTTAAAGTTAACAAAACAGATTAACATCAAATTGAGTCTTCGTTAACATATGTTAGTCTAGTATAGAAAAAAATACAATGAAACGACAATCTTAGGGGTCTATCCATAAAATTTCATGTATTCATTGAAGAATAGCTGCATAGTTTTTTTTTCTAAAAATGATTCTCATTCTCCTAAGATATTTTTTCTACAGATGAACAACATAATAAATGTTCACTTGCCTCCTCAATTGCTTATGCTAGTGAAAGTTGACCCCTTTTACTTTGTGCGTTGTTGTTCACTGAGCTCACTATGCTTACCTACCATTATAACATAGTGTACATCTTCCGAAGACATTTTATACAGATTCATTTATTCACTGATTGCAATTGAATAGAATAACATAAATTGTTTTCTTTACACACAATTATGCTGATTCAATGTGTAAATAATAACAATCGAGGAAAATTTTCGTTTGATCAGTCGTCTTGTTTTCGTTCTATGTATCTCAGTTCTAGCTAAGTCTATCTGATCATTTATATCTGATTAGCAATTTTGTCTTTTTTTTGTGAAGAGAAACTTTAAAAGAACGTTTTTATCACTTTCAACAATGGTATTTATTGCGCTACCCAGCGTTTCTAATAGAAATCTAAAACAAAGTATCAAACTGCATAGTATTTTCGCAAGCTAAGTGCAAAGTGATACTTTGCTTTTTCAAACAAAGCATCATAAAGTATCCAAGGTATAGATTGCTCCGTTTAGATTGAAAAAAAATGTTGATATATATTTGTTATTATTAAGTTCAAATATAAAATATACAAAGAATAGTATCTGATTAAATTATATAAAAAAATGGTTTATCTGCTATTTCATAGATAAGTTAGAAACAGAAATAGAACAACAAAATACGCACTGTACTATTCACCGAAAAGAAAACAATTTTGTATCTACTCAACATATAACCCCTTCAACTTCATATTCTTCTTCACTATACATGTCTTTATAAGTCACTATTGATAAAAATTTGAGGAGTTCGAAATTTCCATAGAATATAATGAAAAGCAGAGTGTAAACTTTCCTGAGCACGTATCCGCTTGATACTTTGTTTTTATGAGCAAAGTGTAAAACAGAGTATCAAATCGATAGAGCAAGTATCATGATACTTTGTAACAAAGGCTGATACCTGCTGTTAGAAACGCTGGCGCTACCTACTTGACACTTACATCAAACGCTTGTACAAGCCAAAAAGGAAGAACAGAGAACGAATGAACGCAAGACGCCCGAAAGAATATCGTCAATCTACTCGCTCTATAGTATCGAGTCAAAATAAATTTTATTCGTGTCAAAAACTCTGTACTGATTTCTCTAACAAAATAATATATCATAGATGTCGCTCTACTATTTTCAAAAACATCTTTTATATTAAAAAAATATCTATGTTTTTAATTTAATTTCAATTAGAAAGCAATTTTAAATTAAATTGAATTAAAATTCAATATCAAATTATCGCCATCTATAAATTATCTGTTTATCTAATTTTCCTAATTTAACCAAAACTTCCTGGATCGATTGAGATATATTCCTAATCAAATTTCTCCTTTGATAAAGAAAACCTATTTTTGTATTGTAAACTAAATTAATATTTTGTTCATATCAAATATTTAGCTTCATTAATCTTCAAGAAAACATCTTGATCTTATTTTTAAAAACAACAATAATAACTATGTCGGAATCTTTGATGCTCAGTATGTTCAGTTTAGCCATGTTTCTTGGTTCGTATTTATCGGGTCTTGTTCCACTTGCATTTTCACTATCTGAAGTAAGCTATTCATTGTACTAATCAATAGATAGTAATAGAATTTTATTTAGACAAAAATGCGCTATGTTACTGTACTTGGCGCCGGCCTATTAGTTGGAACAGCATTAGCTGTTATTATTCCAGAAGGTGTTCATGCACTTTATATGAGCGAATTAGAAACAAATCAAATGCAAATTCAACATGAATTTCATGCTGATCATAAAGTTATTGGTCGACATTTGAATCATATTGATCACGATGTTAAACTTGACGTTGAACATGACACTAAAATCGACAGTGATATAAAAGGTGATGCTCTACCACCAGCTCATCAACATACAGCTGATCGAACTCGAGAATTAGGCTCTGAAATTGTACATAAACATTCAGATACAACTCATTCAGCTATCGGTATATATTGATATACGCATGGAATAAATGAAAGAAATTATTTTATTTTACTTAGGTGTGACTCTTATTCTTGGTTTTGTATTTATGCTTATTGTTGACAATTGTGGTTCAAGAATAATTGGACATCATGGAAGTCAGGGTATTTAGTTCATCAATTATTAATATGAAAAAAAAGAAGATTTATGCTTGTTGTGATTAGTTCTGGATTCGTCGAGTACAGTGATTATAAATAAACCGAAAGCAACGTGGACAGCAACGTTAGGTCTAGTCGTACATGCAGCTGCTGATGGTATTGCATTAGGTAAGACAAAACAAAATATTGATTGGCTTATCATATGTATATCGAATTAGAATAGCCTTGAAAGAAAACTAGTCATAATAAGTCCTTCAAAAAAATATGCATGATTACAGTCATTGTATAAGTAGTTAAATAAGTTTCTATTCAAAGAAAATGTTTTGTTCTCAAAAACTAATGTCTTCCAGCAAGTTAATGGCATTCTTAGTTTGCCATATAAGTGCTTTTTATATTGCTGAAAGGGTCCCTTTAACCTAAAAATGCTCTTATTCATGGAATAAGAAAGGTAAGACTGTTGTTTTTTTCTAAGTAAAAAAAAAACCATTAACGTTTCATGTACTACGATGAAATTTGAGGTAATTCCTGATAATATTCTGAAAGTTCTTGATTAAGTTTTATGGATGTAACGAATGAGTTTTTTTTGACAATAAATTTATCAGATACAGATCTCTGTTGGAATATCATTTCTGGTAATTTTTTCTGCGATTTTAATTCAGGGCAATCAATAGAAAAAGATTTCTTTGTTCTTTCCTTTGTGAAAGAATCGGCTGCGGATACAGTGTTTGCAGAAAAAAAAACACAATAATCTCTTTTATAACGATTAATAATAATCTACAGAACAAATATTTTATTGTATGAGTAGTAATATTCTAGTTTTTGAATACACTTATACCATATCTTCAAGTTCCGACGTTGTTTATTTTATCATATTATATTTAGATTAAACAGATCATGAATGCTTCTGTTTCTTTTTGTTTCCCAGTTGACATTAAGTCAAAAGGGTGCACAAGTAATATTTCTAATCATATTTACGTAACAAAGATAATAATAAACAATAAATTGCTCGCCCAAAATAGCTATATTAAACTTTCTCTATATCATTAATTGCATTACTTACAAAGGTGTATAGATAATGTCGATCTATGATCATCGAAGTTTCATTTATACAATGGGGTAGTGAAAACTATCTTTTTTTCTGTGCACTTCTGGACTGTTTATCAACATTCAAAATAGTTCTATTAGGGTAATTGATGTCATCAGTATCTAACCGTGTCTTTTAAAAAAAATTACTTTTTACAACTAAATCTAAAACATGATATTTTAGGTGCAGCCTCAGCAACAAGTCGTTTTAATGTTGAACTAATTGTTTTCATGGCGATTATGCTTCATAAAGTAATTATTCTATTCTATTATTTATAAAACAAAGCTTTTGATCCATTTTCAGGCACCAGCTGCTTTTGGTCTTGTCTCGTTTTTAATGTCGGACGGTGTTGATCGCAAACGTATTCGACGTCATCTGCTAATATTTTCGTTAGCTGCTCCATTAATGGCGATATTTACTTTTGTTTTATTGAAAAGTGTATGTTTACATTTGTTGTTATTTTGAAGAAAATTCCCATTCATATTTTTTCTCTCTCTAGCGAATACGTGACACATATTCTGTTGATTCAACCGGTTTGGCTATGCTATTCAGTGCCGGTACATTTCTATTTGTGGCTACAGTACATGTTTTGCCTGAAGTACAGTCTCATTATGAGGATCGACAATTTCGTGCAATTGAACTTCTTATACTTATTATTGGATGTTGTTTTCCTATTATACTTTCTATGGGGCATAAGCATTAATAAAACAAAATATATTCTTCTTCGTCTTCTCAATGTCAAATTCTATATCACTGTACTTTGCTGTTTTTTCTTCTTATATTCTATTTAAATAACAAAGAAAATGAAAAACTAGTATTATTGTTGTCTTTTGTTTTTAGATTATTTTGTTATTTTGTTTTCAATGGACGATGACATATATGTTGTTGAAAAAATTCTTAATAAGCGAATACTTGAAAATGGCGAAGTAGAGTATTTTATAAAATGGTTTGGTTATACCGAAGATGAAGCAACATGGGAACCAGAAGAAAATGTATTTTGTAAAGATTTAATTCGTTTATATGAGCAAAGTGTAAATATTAATGAAAATATAGTGAGTAAGAAAAGGAGGTTATTTTTTAGAATTAACTATTTTTTTGTTTATTAGAACGATGAATGCAGGTTACTTATTTTCCAAATTCTTAGTGAGCTTGAAGATCTTGCTGAAACAGGTAAGTTATATAAAAATAAAAAAGAAACTAACAGGTAGCGTGCCCGTCTGGACAAAAATTATTAGGCCTGGAACCGAATTTGCGCCTGAGCAGATCCGGGATCCGATTCTGCTAACATGACGCTTCTAATTTGATTCATCTTTATTTCTCTCAAGAGATAGAATGCTCAATCATTCAATAGATCATTTTGATGAAATATATTGATTAAAATTATAGTTACTTCCTCTAAACTAAACAACATCGACAAAGAATTTCTATTTTAAATATCTTAAATTATTTTTCAGTGTCTTCGAACAATGTGACCATGGGTGATGATACAGCCGAAGTCAGCTATCATTTATCTTCCACGAATTATTCCACTACTGCCACAGTTAATGAAAGTCTAAATACTGATAAATCCATTGAGTCCGATATTGAAAGTATGACATTTTTGTTTTCAAACATTCATTAGTAACTTATACGTTCGAATCTAGATGAAAACGAAAGTGGCATATCTAAACATGACCAGGTCGATCAAAGTATATTAAAAATAAAACTAATTGATAAGAAAAAGCATATTCGAAAATATTTGTTGTTGTTTTTTTTATCTCTAGAAGAGTCAACATTGGCAAATGATCAGTTAAAAGTAAGATTCTCACGAAGAATATATATCGTTCATCAAACGAATCTCATTCTAATTTAGTCAGCATCGAATTCTAAACGTCGACGTCGACGAACAAAAACTTTGTTACTACCTCGTAAGAGACATAGATCTGATCTTATTCATAATAAATCAGCTATGGTCGATGAAAATGCCAATGATATTAAACGACAAGAACAAATAGAAACACACAAGACTACAATAGATTATCTTTCACTGGGACCAGAACGCATTGTTTCGATAACACATTCACGTTTACCAGCTGAGGAACTTGAATTTCTTTTGCAATGTAAAAGTTGTCCATCAAAATTATTTTTTATTTCGAATGAAAAAGCAAAAGAAATCGTACCAGATTTATTGATTGAATTTTATGAACGCCATATCAATTGGTTTATTGATAAACCATCATCATCCATACGGCAAAACCCCAAACGTGACAGCAACTCCACTACTCGAACCAATAAACGTAGAAAAAAGTCTAAAATGTAAATTTCAATTTTCTTCCTCATTTTCTTTTTGTTGTTGTTGTTGTTGTTGTTGTTAATGTTTATTCACTCTTTTGTAAGTGTTAAAAGACTAACTTTCTCTTTGATTTATATTTGAACGAAGAGAATAGTTTCATAAAGAAGATATGAAAAATAAAAAAAATATACAGTTAATTTTAGCAGATCATTTTGTACCGAAGAGTCACACTTCTTACCGCGATGCAAAGACAAAATGACCAGGTGCGCGAAATGAAAAATTTGATTACTTTTTATTTTTCTCCAAAATTGGAATTAACAGGTTTAGTATTTTTTTGAGAGTCTGGATCTTTGAAAATTCTGACAGCTCCATAAAAGAAATTTTTTTCAATATTTATTGTAAAGAAAAATTTTTTTTTAAATCAATAATAACAAACATATGAAAGCATTTATACAAAAAGTTAAATTTTTCCTGTACATTTTCAGTTGCATCGGACACTTCTTCACGTTATCTTGATCATTCTCTTGAGTCCTGTCGAACAATATTATCCGTGTCAGACAACGGTTGCTATATGACTCAGTTATAGATATGATTTAAAGTGACAGAAAAATGGTGTCACTAAATGATTAGAAAAAACAAAATAATCCTATTATCAATATTTATCTGAATTATCTTTCCATTCGGTATAAATAAAATGCACCCAACTGCTTCATACCGATCGACTCACAAATTTCAATTGAGTAACAACAACATGTTCTACTTCACAATTTTCGCTGCTATTGCTCTTTTTGCAACTGTTTCGAATGGTTTACCAACCAAATCCAAAATGAATGAACCAGAACGTTGTTGTATATCAAGTCTATTTAGTGCTCAAATCAGTACATCCAGCGGTGTGAAATTGCCTGATGGTACAACTTTCAGCTCTTATGTAAGTCGTTTTTGCTTTCCGAAGAAAGCTTCATGTAACATGTCGACTATACATTCAATAGGGATATTACAATTTTTCGTATGATGCAAACCGTGGTCTAGTTGGAATGAAAGGTGTATCGTTTTCAGTACCAAAACAGGAGAAATCAAACTTACGGATCATTGAAAATATGAAGAGCGGACAAATTTACACTTTCGATGAAGATTCGAAACAATGCTACAAATCGATAAATCCAATCAAGTCATATTCTTGCATACCAGGTATGAAATTTTGTTTTTCATCAATTATTTACGAGTTTTATATTATTTTTTAATCTCTATATAACAAGTCTCTGTTCTGCTTTTGTTACAGATTCCGCAATCTATCTACATTCATTTACCTATGGATATGGTGATAAACAAATCATTGCTGATACATGGCTTATACAAATTGATAATGCAGTTAACTATGCAACAGTTAGTCGTGACGGTCTATGCGTTCCATTGACTGGAAATAATTTTGTGTCAGAACCTGGTAAGTAGCTAACTATTGCGTGTAAAAGAAATATAATATTCTATCGATATTAACTGTAGCTATGATCAATGCTATCACAACAACAGATTTTACACCAACGGTTGATGATCCAAGTATTTTTGATATTCCAGCAGAATGTAACACCGCTGTTTAGTTTTTTTTAGTCTTTCTTTTATTGACAATAAATAAAAATACATTTCAGTGATAAAATGTGTTTATCCTTTGTGAAAATAAATAAGATGTCGTTTGAAGAGAGTCTGTCTCTTCTAGTACATGAGCTATCAGCTAATTATTTGTAAAGCGACATCGTTGTAGTGGTGTGGGAGGCCTCAACGTATTGCTTTTAATGTGAGTATCCAAAGGGGAAACAACTCATTTGTCTATTCCCTGGCATTCAAATCCATTCCAAGCTATGCCAACGGATTCTCAGATAGAAACAGATCATTTCAGTTAATTAACAACACCAATTGAGTGGTTCCTCTGATGATATTAAACTTAATTTGAAGATAACGTAAATGGTGCACTCCTACTCTTATGCTGTATCGCTCTTTCAAATAATAAATCTTATTTCGTACATGTGCCCAGTCGGAATTTTTCACTAAGCTATTTTGCTTTATGTTGTCAATCACTTTTGTAACCACTTTGGCTATTTTACTGCTTACAATAATTCGACATATCTCTGCATATACAATCGAAAAGGAACACTTGTAATAAATTTGCATTTGTTTCGTTTTGGTACTAATTGTTAATATGAGTATGGAAAAGATTAACTTATCTCAAGAGCAACAAAAAGATATTTTGAAGAAGAAAAAGTTTGATGCATGTTGAAAACGATGGTAATTATTTTCAGCAGATTTCGTTAAGTCAGAGCGTTTCAACAATAACAATACTCATCTTTATGATGAGTTGAAATTATCTGGTATAGTTAGAACTATTTCAAGGCTCTCATTCATGTCAAGTAACTTCTAGTCATCTGAATGCCTCGATGTTAATCTTTTCGCTTGATTTAAACAGCTCTTTTAAGCTCAAGATTTTAATCTTTCAGGCATCTGGCTACGCAATTTCATTTTAAATGTAATATTCATTTCATTAGCAATATTTTGGTGATTCTGAGTACAAATTTTATTCTGCCACGTGATTGATATCTGTGTCACATTGTGCAAATCATTTAAATAATCCAGCTGATTACACATTTATAAAAAAAAAAGAGGCTACTCTCTTCAAATGGCTTGTACGCTATCGCAACAAAA